CAGTTTTTGTTGCTTGAGTGGAGGCACTTGAAGAATGGGGACAGGATCTCAATCGAATTTTATGAAAATAAAGAGCAGGTAGTATTATTTATTGATAGTGCCTGTCATATGCTAGGTTCTCTGCCAGATGCTTTAGATGCACTGTGTAATCCTGACTACAGTTCTGCTTTGTGTGGGTATGATACCCATTTTACAGGTCACTCAGCCAAGGCCCAGAGAGGGCAAATACTAAATCTCAGGCTACCCAGGTGGACGGACATACAGCTCTCTGGTTCCCTTTGATTCTTAACACTGTTTTCCGAGCTTCCTAGCAAGCATGGCAGACTCATGCATGAGCCACAGATGGGCCAGAATTATAATTGTGCCTGGACACTGAGAACAGCTGAGATGGGCTAGGACAACGGGAGCTCTTAGTGCCTGTCACCTCTCTCAGTGCCAGGGGACCTGCAGACATGACCCTCTGTGTGGAGAAGGTAGGCAGGCACTGTGTTGGTGCCCCATGATCCTTTTTGGCATTTTTAAAAGGCAGCATGTGAAATGTATTGTAGCTAAGAACATAATACCTGCTGTATTCAAATCATTCTTTCCTAAGGAAGGAATGATGGGGTTCCAACACCACATGTTACAAGTTAAAATGAAAATGAATTTCATTATTTGAAGAGTGCCACCCACCCCTGCCTGTAGCAAGTTCCTGTCATTCAAGGGGTGAGTTTTAAAGTTTCATGTAGAAACTGCATTAAATAATAAGCCTTCCTTGTGAAACCAGTATCAAAAAATAAGATTTGTAGTTTTCGAATGGCTAAGCAATACTCTGGTGAAATTGTAGAAATATGCAGGAATCGAGTGAATTTAAAGCTGTGGTAAATAGTTCAGGAATATAAAATGCACTGAGAAAGAAGAATAGCATTTAACGGTGAAGCACTTTAACCTATAATTCAAACATGAACATGAAAATTTTTGTGTGTGCTTAATCAAATTACATGGTACTTTTTGGCACCACTTCTCAAAAAATAGTGGTAAGTTGGAACCTTCGTAGTACAAAGCTTCTCCTGGCTCCCTGAAATAAAGGTTAAGCAGAACGTATTTTAGAGCGCCTTGAATTCCATTGCATCTGAGATGGCAACGCAGGTGAAACAGCACTGCTGACAGGACTGGAGGGCATAGGAGTTGGTGCAGAAATGTCGAATTTTCACATCACCTTCCTTAGATGAAATGGCCACTGTAAGGCTGTTGTCTGTCAGAATTCTTTCCATTTGCTTTCTTGGCAATTCAGTTTAACAGATGAGTGGTTGTGTTATTGCGATGGATTTTGTTTATGAGTGTTGAAAAATAACTGAAGTAGATTTCTCTAATTGCTCCTAAGTAACTCTATACTCCTGTGATTTCTAGACTTTAGGGTATGTTTTATGAGGTTTTCTTTTTTTTACCAAAAAAAAAAAAATCGAGCTTAGATCTTTTGGAAACATGTAGCTCAATTCCCCTCATTTGATTACATTTATGTATAATAATAGAGCCCTGAAAAGGATCTGCACCAACCCCATTACGATTCCACCAGGACACAAGTCTGGGAGCCTCTGCACTTTTTTTGCAGAGATAAAATGGAAATTATTAGTGCTTGCTACACTCTAAATGAGAATGAGAAAATAATTTATACATTCAAGTAAAACCAAATAAAAACAGTCCGTTCTTATGCCTTAAAATTAAAGCAGTAACAGATGCCAGGGAAATGTCCTGTATTAAAAGCATCGCGGCTGGTTACAGAGATGACTTTAGAGCCCTTTCTAGAGGCTCCGGGTTGTGACTGCACCTGATACACTTTCTTTCAAGTTACCCAACACCTGAAACTGTAAGGCGTTTGCCTTCCAGCTCTGGTTGTGGCCAGCATGTTCCCTTTCAACTGCAAGAGTACTTCCTGTATTTTAAAAAAAGTGCTACAAAAAATATTCTTCTATTTTTGAGTTCAGGGGCTATTCCCAAAAGATGGCTGAGTAGTTTTGTCAGTGATGAGCCAAGAATCTGGGATTAGGTTTAGTGATTAATTTAATGAATAGAATTTCAAAGGTAAGGTTTTTTTGTATATTGATACCTCACTATTCACAGAATTAGAAATCAAAATGGATACATCATTTCATTAAAGTGTTAGTGTACATGGCAACTATGAATTTGTTTAAATGAAAGATGCTTTTATACACAATGGTGCTTTTCTGCCCAGTCTTAAATTACTATTAATTGACCATTATATGATATAATAGGTAATTACAGTGTTTAAATGTGGATGCCAATGGATTTGCTAGTCTCTCTAAATGGGTATTGTTTTCTAATAGTCTTCAGGGGATCATTTGCATAGCCATTGTGACTCTAAAAATATTTTTAAATACCAATGGGACAGCCTTTTTTGAAGCATGATTATTATAAAATGCACTGTTATTTGAAGTGCACCATTTTGATGATATCATTCAATTACTTTCATGTACAACAGGAAAAAAACAATGCTAAAGAAATAAAGGGAAGCTCTTTATGCATCGAAAGTGTTCAGAACAATATGGTAATTAAATAGAAAAAGATTTGAGTTAGGAGTATTGAGAATCTGTTCTTTACGATTTTTAGCTATTCTTTTCATTAGGATTTAGCTGGAAGTGTTTTTATGTGGCCTCATTGTTTTCATTTAATATTTCTATGGCAGAGAGATAATTAGGTAAATGCATTAAATATTAAATATTGTGGTAACTTTGGGGAAATAACATTTCTGGGTCAAAACCCTTAACAAAATACTGTCACACGTGAGCTGATCAGTTGAACCGAATGCAAGATTGTTTTGCTACCATCCAACTAGTAACTCGGTTCATTATCTAAGGCTGTTCCAGGATGGAATGACTTGTTCTATCAAAGTTAACGGTGTTCTTTTTAATCTCAGCTATGAACGGAGTCATAGCTGAAATTGATTAGAGAATCATTTCTACCTTGTTAGATGAGCTCAGTGTATGAATATCCCTGAATTCCACATCAGGCATTTCAAGTGTTGGGTGGATAAGGTTCTCAGCACCGTCACCCAGGGGTGCCTCTGTATCTTACTGGCTCCAATCTGTACAGGCTTTAATCTAAAACGGAGTCTAGGCTACTCTCTGGTCTTTGCAGCCTGTATCTAATATTGAATGTGAAAAAAAAAGGTTCAATTTCTAATCAAGCCGGAGATGCTATTTGCATCATTATGTTTAGTAGAGAACAATGTTACAGTCTGTGGACATTACTGTTCAATAGCATGCCAGAGTGACAGAGTTCAAATTGTGTTCCAAAATATCCCAGGGATTCAGACGTTATGCCTTTGTTGTTTATTTAAACTGTTTAAAAACCTCAATGAAAGAGACCAAGTTTCAAATGTGTATTCCAAATTTTCCATTAGGGTGGCCAGGTTAACAAGTTGGGGGGGCAGATGTTTGAATAAAGCTGCTCCTGCCTTTTTGTGCACAGATTTCAAAGGTCCGTGACAGAGACTCTGGTAGAGCGCTCCTGGGTCTTCTGTCCACGTGGCTGTGCGCGCCCACTCACCCCCCCCCCCCAGTTTCCTTGCCCTGGACTGACTGATGCTGTGCGAGGCCCAGGCACGTCTGTTTGAGAACTCACCATTGCCATAAAGTAGCAGTAAGTTAGACTCATGACTGACCCACATGTCACCATGTGATACAACATTGTAAGTTTATTTTACACGTTAGGTGCCATCTGTCAAATTTATTTTTCAAGAAGGAACTTTGTTATGTATCTAACAGAAATCAATACTTTTGGGAAAAATTCCTGCAATCCCTTGTTGTTGTTGAAAATTGCCATTTGCAGCCACTGACCTGTGTGAGTGGAGACTGTCCTGACCTTCTGCAGCACAGACGAACACAGAAATGAACTAACCCCTGCAGCTGATGCAGCGTCATAATCCACAGCCTCTTCGGTCATGGTTTTGTGTTTGCAAACATAGCCTTGTTGCTTTGCATCGATCGACTTTTAAAGTAAATGTTACTGGTTGTTTCTAAAAATTCTGGAATTTTCCCAGTCTTCAACAGTTCTTTCTGTCTACACACTTATAGTGTATAGGCTTTGGAGAGCATAAATGCTCTCGAGTAGACAACGACCCCCCTATCCTTATTACTTATCACTATTTCAAGTATAAATACAGGAGATATGGAAATGAAATCATATAGTGCAATGAATCTCAAGGAGATTAGATAAAGACTGTTATGGCAAAAGCTCCACTTTGTGTTCTACATAGAATCTTTTCTGTCAGTTGGAAGTTACATTTGAGGCCAGCGGTGGCCAGATAAGCAGCTCCATCTGAAATGTCAGCTGGGCTCTTCAAAGAGCTCTCAAGGCAGAGGGGCAATACAAATGGAACCTGTTCTGGTGGTTAAAGGGGTAGAGGAGGAATTAGGAAGGAGCATGAACTTAGCTGTGTCTCTCTTCACAGCAATAAGAAAATCACTCACCACTTTCCCTACTTCTTACAGATTCATTTGAGAGATAGAGGTGAATGCCCTTGGAACCTGATATGTGTCCTCTGGGTTTCATTATCCATTGTTCTCGCCCTAGACTTAGGTAAACGGCTGTAGGAAGCCGTATTTTATTACAACACATGGGCTTCGTTCCCTGTAGGACTAGAGTGTATACCTCAGAAATCTTATAAAATGTATTTCTAAAATCTCATGATTTATGCATTGGTTTCTGTAACATCTTTACCCACAAATATAAATGATGTTTTTGGGGGAAAAGATGACAAAAGTTGTATGTTTAGAGTCTTGCAGTAAAAAAAAAAAAAAATCTCATTGCTTGGGGCATTTTGTGTAAGGCATTTTAAAAACCTTCCCTTTAATAAATAATGTGTTTTGTGGCTAATGCCCCCCCAGCTCCTCCACCAGCGTTTATCCTGTCTCTGCCCTGCACTCGTCTGGGTCTGCGGGAGCAGCTGCCCTTCTCATCACTGCTTTGCTCACCTTGCGTTTGTTTTTCTCCCTTTGCAGAGACCCTCCTCGATGACTTCCTCCTCACGTACACCGTCTTCATGACAACTGACGACCTGTGCCAGGCGCTGCTGCGGCAATATCCTTCATCCACGGGAGGAGGCTGTCGCCTTCCGCGCGGGCAGATGTCTCTCATTAGGAATTAACTGCCTTTCTTCCTAATGTACTCAACCCCCCGGTAGGGTGGGGCTGTGTTCAATATGAATGTAATGATATCCAAGGTAAAAGATGAAATGAGACAGGATAGGTGGGCGTGAGGGGGGTGGAGGGAGCTGGAAATGCGGCTTCTGTTTTCACGTTCTAAATGGTACTGTCTGTTATGTTTTCTTTCATAGCTCTGTCTCAGGCTTTAGAAATCTCGAGGCAGATTTGGCCTAGCGGGTAAGCCCCAGCGTCCACAGGTTGAATGAGGTGGCAGTAAGTGAACTGATAAAACAGTCCCTCAGTTAGTGCCGGACGGCTTGGGCAGGAGACTGCACGTATGGGGTCTCATGTCTCTGGGCACGTGTCCCAGGGACACGAGCCATCCCCCCACCCGGGAGGTCCACATTGTCCCTGGAGTCCACTGTCTCCTTTGCAGAAGCGTGATCTCTTAGAGTGATGGATGTGCTTAGAAGGTGAATGACCAGTTAAGGAAGCTTTATGATTTATACACTAAATAGAAGAGATGCAAGAGGTGAAAGGCCAAAAAGCCAAGCTAAGAAGACGTACTCAGTTCTCCACTAGGGCTTCTTGCCTCACAGTGTTTCAGGAAGATGCTTCGGGAGCATTTATGTGGCCAGTTACCTGTCAGGGCTTTGGTAATGTGAAGAGTCCATTCGAGCCCATGTGAAAAATTTTAAAACGGTGGATTTTTTTTGTATGTACCCGTTTTATTGAGCCCTAGTAATAGTCTCAGCTGTATCTCTTTCCTGTTAAGTAATTGTTATGTTTCTCCCCCCTTCAACATTTTTTTGCTTAAAGTAATACTTTAAAACTTCATAAAGGGTACAACCTCTCTTAAAAATACATAAAGTAGAAATAGTGCTCACTTAGTGCTCTACTGTACCTTGTGGCCCCTGCAGCTATCTTGAAGCCTTTTTAAAATTTTTAAAATATATTTTACCGATTATGCCCTTACAGTTGTCCCATTTCCCCCGCTTCATTCACCTCCACCCTGCACACCCTCTCCTACCCACATTCCCCCCTTTAGTTCATGTCCATGTGTCATAAGTTCTTTAGCTTCTACATTTTCTGTACTATTCTTGCTCTCCCCCTGTCTATTTTCTACCTACCATCTATGCTACTTATTCTCTGTACCTTCTCCCCCCTTTTCCTCCTCTCAGTCCCCTGTTGCTAACCCCTCCATGTGATCTCCATTTCTGTGGTTCTGTTCCTGTTCTAGTTTTTTGCTTAGTTTGTTTTTTGTTTTTGTTTTAGATGTGGTTGTTAATAATTGTAAGCTTGCTGTCATTTTACTATACATGTTTTTTATCTTCTTTTTCTTAGATAAGTCCCTTTAACATTTCATATAATAAGGGCTTGGTGATGATGAACTCCTTTAGCTTGACCTTATCTGAGAAGCACTTTATCTGTCCTTTCATTCTAAATGAAAGTTTTGCTGGATAGAGCAATCTTGGATGTAGGTCTTTGGATTTCATGACTTGGAATTCTTCTTTCCAGCCCCTTCTTGCCTATAATGTCTCTTTTGAGAAATCAGCTGACAGTCTGATTCAGAGAACTCCTTTGTAGGTGACTGTCCCCTTATCTCTTGCTGCTTCTAGGATTCTCTTCTTCATTTTAATCTTGGCTAATGTAATTATGATGTGCCTTGGTGTGTTCCTCCTTGGGTCCACCTTCCTTGGGACTCTCTGAGCTTCCTGGACTTCCTTTTTCCTTTGCCAGATTGGGGAAGTTCTCCTTTATTATTTGTTCAAATAAGTTTTCCACTTGTTGCTCTTCTTCTTCCCCTTCTGGTACCCCTATAAGTTGGATGTTGGAACATTTAAAGATGTCCGGGAAGTTCCTAAGCCGCTCCTCGTTTTTTTAAATTTTCGTTTCTTTATTCTTTTTCTGCTTGGTTGTGTCTTTCTTCCTTCTGGTCCACTCCCCTGATTTGAGTCCCAGTTTCCTTCCCATCACTATTGGTTTCCTGTGCATTTCCCTTCATTTCACTTAGTGTAGCCTTCATTTTTTCATCTAATTTGCAACCAAAATCAACCAGTTCTGTGAGCATCCTGATTACCAGTGTTTTGAACTGTGCATCTGTTGGTTGGCTATCTCTTTGTCACTTAAAAATATTGGCTCTGGGGCTTTGACCTGTTCTTTCATTTGGGCCTTTTTTGGGGGGAGGGTGTCTGGTCGTGCCTGTTATGAATGAGGGGCAGAGCCTTAGGTGTTCACCACAGCAGGGTAACCCAGTGGCTGGGTTGTGATGCTGTATGTGGGGGTAGGGTCAGAGAGGGAACAGTGGCGCTTACTCCTCCTCTCTCTTGGACCTCAGTCCCCACCACCACTTCCCCCAAGCAAACTGGACCCTTCTGGTGCTGATTCCCATGTGGGTGGGTTTGTGTACATTCTAGGACCCTGTGGGTCTCTCCAGTGAACTCTCCTGTGAGGCTGGGAGTCTCTCCCTGTGCCTCAACCCCCACCAGTATTTTCAATCAGTGTTTTGAGGCTTTATTTCCCAGCACTGGGACCCTGGGTTGCACAGTCTGTCTCACTCCCCAGTTATCTGCTCTCAAATGTGGGACCGCTGCCCAGTCAGCCACCTACCTTGTTCACAGTGCCTTGCTTCACAATTGCCACCTCACTGAGTCTGCCCGTTGCCACCCTGTGCCCGGGGTCTGCCAGCCGCTGCCTGCATGCCCAGGGTCTGCCCTCTGCTGTCTCGTGCGCCCAGGGTGCCTTGCACACCTGGTGTCACCACTTCTGGTGCCATGACCCCTCTCCCCTTGCTCAGCCACCCGACTCTGCCCCACCTACCGGTCTGGATGAATGTGTCTATTTCAGCTCCTTGTCTCTCCAACTTCCGTACAGTTCAATTTTCTGTCAGTTCTGGTTGTTATTTATTTTCAATTTTTTTGTTGTTTTTATTTTAGTTGTGTAACGGAGGCACAGTGTGTCTACCTACTCCTCCATCTTGGCCGGAAGCCTATCTTGAAGCTTTTCAGAACCAGTTTATAAAGCTGATCTTGAAGCGTAGTTGTGAATTCGAAAATTTTCAAAAACAGATTTCTTCTAAAGCTTCCAAGTGAGGTGTTACTAAGAAATTTAAAAGTAACCACAAAGTTTTAAATTTCTCCTTCTTTAAACATGGCCTATTTATGAAAAAAATATGGCTTATTTTTACTATACTTTAATGCTAACAGTTTTCCAAGGGTGTTCCCATCCATTAAGTAATACAGTTTGTTTTATAGCAAATTATATGCTTTCAAACTATTGTTGTTAAAACTGATCCTATCATAATTTGTGATCACATTGAGTAATTTAATGCCTCATAGAACTTCCCTGAGGAATCCCTAAAACTTTACTTGGCTAAAGACATGTCTGAGTCTTTGACTAAGACATTTTATACAAAAAATTATTTCCAAAGGGGATTACCAAACCCCAGGAAATCCAGAACACTTTAAGTCAGGAGTCTTTTTATGTGGCCATTTTGATACATTTGCAGCTTCTGCCTTTTCTGAAGTGATGCAAACCGCAAACAAAAATATGACACCTGTATTTAACCTGAGAGAGTGGGTTACACATTTCAGTGACGGTATCTTTTATAGTCTACTACTGTCACATTCTAAGCAATAGCCCAGATTATTTTTTGTTGTTTTCCCCCAATGTTTTTGAACATTATTTAGAGACTGGAGCTGTTTGTGCTGTGTTGGGATATCATAGGTAGATATTTTTATTGTAGTAGAATTTAATACCTCTCAGCTTTTATCATCATAAAGAGAGTTATTGAAGCTCACAGCCCTAAGTGGGCTAATGTTCACTCCATTACATGAATACCTCCCCACTATCTCTCCCCACCCTCAACTAAATTTATAAATCGTTATAACTTAGCATGAGCAAATGTATGAACATACATTTGTATATACCTAATACAGAAAACCAGAATAACATGAATATAAATTAGTAAATATTTTTAAAATACGTCTTGTAGGGGAGGGAACATGATTAAGCAAGTAAATGGTAGTATCTAAGAATGAAGAAGAGTTGTTGATATTTCAGTTCCCAAAATTACTTTATGCTGAACGCCCATAATTGTAGAACGTATATGCGGCCTTAACAAAAAGCTTACCTCTTCACTTATATATGCTGATCTGTTAGTAGTACTTAATTTTCCAGATTTTTTTCTTTATATTAGTCAAGTCGTGATAGTTACAGGAAAAGAAGAAAAGGACATTTGCGTAAGTGGAAATAATGAAGGATAAATCTGTATACATTGCCTTTCAAGAGAAAAACTGAAAGAAACGAGTCCTTTAACAGACTCTGCATGTTTGTCTGCGTTTATTTCACCAGTAGAAATTAAAGAAATCAGATGGCCCTCGTGTATTTTTGCAGGTTCAGGAGACAGTGAATTATGTTTTTAGAATATTTACGAAGCCTGATAGAGAACCTGTCCCTCTTTTGCAATTACGTGTCACCATCAACCCCACAGCTTACCCGCATTTCGTGTCCCAGCTCTTCCTCTTCCCAGTGAACCTTTCATGTGTCCAAGATACTCGGAAATGGTGATTTGGGGGAGAAAAACACTAGGCTGGTTTGAAAAACAGCAAGCTTCTGTCTCGTTCCTCGGGCTTTAAGCATGTTGCCTGTGAGGTTTGTTATTTTTAATCATTTTAACAACATACTTAACACATGATCATTGTATACAAATTAGAAAATGCTTATAAGTATATTAACAATTCATGGGCTCTGAAACCTCATTACCTTTAGAAGCTGCTCTTAATCGTCAGTGTATCTTTCCCAGTAATGGAATTGTTCATATAAATAAGCATAATTAACAAAAACAGATCATCCTAACCTATTCTCTTCTTACTGTCCTGCTCATCCACTTACTGGGGACATTCTGTCAGTAAATGTACTGCTGGGCTGTCAGTTTTGTGACTGCAGAACAGCCCGTTAGATGGGGATGGAAATAATTCTGTTAACTCTCCGCAGTGGGTAAAGCATTTAAGTTATTCATATTTTCTGTTTTTTATTCCAGTGAAAGTTTAAATTAGCAGTCCTCTTTATTTATGTTTGCACATTTACCCAGTCCTTTTCTTTTTTTAAGTAAATTCCTAGGGATGGGCATTTGGAAAATGGTACGAATGATGCTTCAGAAATCTGTGCTCATTTGGGTCTCTACTTGAGAACTAACTGGTGTCACAGAATGTGAATTTCTGAGGGTCAAAGGAGAGCTGACCTAACTCTCTTCTAACTTGTATGGAAACAACGTCTGCCTTTGGAGCATGGCCAGGTCTCTTGGACCACCCTTGAAATTAATGGGCCGCCTGGTATCTCTGGGAGGTGGCATTGACCTGTGCCCCCGTGGAACCATGTCCGAAGCCGTCGATGGCACCGTCTGACCTTCATCTTCATGGCCTGTCGCCAAGTGTATGGGAATCATTTTCCTGGCTTTATTTTTAACCTTTTTAATGTGTACCCATTGGTCTCGCCACACGTTATTCCTTTTGTCCTGCATGCATGGTTAGATAGGTGTAGATTCTTTAGAAAGTACGATTTAGCAAGAATAAGTGGATCTCTTCGTATTTTTGTTTTCAACAACGCAGTATTCTTTCTTAACCACTTGCACCTATTCTGCTAAGAAGTATCAAGGCAAAGAAGAAAACTCAGATGTCCCTTGCCGGAAACGGAAGGTGTTACATCTCGTTTCCCAGTGGATTTCTCTGTACAAAGACTGGCTGCATGAAGATGAACACTCGAAAATGTTTTTAAAGGTAATGTAAAACTTCCGGATATCCTCTAAGGCCAGATGGCTGCTTTTGTTTTTAGTTATGCATTTCAAAAGTCTCAGTCGTAGGTGGCATTCACTTTTTGTAATATCTAAGTTGTGATTCGAACAAAGCATTCAATTATTTTGACTTTGAAGGCCTGGTATTCCTTCTATAGGTAGACTTTTTTTCATTTTAAAAAATGCATTAAGAAAAAATATAGAGGGCAAATTTTACATTCACTAATTTAATGTTATTTCATAAAAGTTATGGGATGTTTGATTACAAATGAAATAATTAAGAAAGGCAAAGTAAAACATACTTCAAAACTTAATAGTATTTAATTAATATGTTGAGCTTTATTACAATTTGAACTACCCAGCTTCATTTATTCAATAATTGGATAAAACATTGTCATTTAAAAATTATATTCATGATATGCACATTATTAAACTTTTTCAGGATGTATATTTTGAAAATTTTAAGTAATACTAACTTGTAAAATAGATGATAATCTATACTTACATGTGGATTTAGATGAACTGATATATGTTTTGAATCAATAATAGGCTGCAGCATCTTTTCAACACAGATAATTCCCTGGAGATGATTTGTGGGTAGTCGGATTCCTTTGGCCACCAAAACCATGTTAGCCTTGCAGGTTGACACAAGGGGGGAGAGTGGGATCTGGACAAGGACGAGCTCTGCCTCAAAATAGGCGAGCGTCTAAACTGCTTCTGCCTTTCAGGAAGTAAACCATTTTGCATTAAAAATTCAGCTATCATTTAGTCATCCAGCTAAAAACTCTTTCACCAACTCCTTGACTAAACTAATGCTATTTCAACACAACTGGGTCATTTAATTCAATTGATTTTTTTCCTCCCAGATGATTGTGTGGATATCATTATTTTAAAATATAGAATAGGCATGGAAGTCTCAGTAGCCAGCCAGAGAGATCACTGAGCATTTCCAGCCCATGGCCCCTAAGTGCTGCGAGAGAGCCCTGCTGGCCGAGTTGGGGGCTCAGAGGGGTGACCCCACCCAGGCACTCCCTGGTTCCTGGGTGGATCCCCTCCCTGGTTCCTGGGTGGATCCCCTGCATTTTACAGAGTCCCACCGATTTCTTTGGGCAGGTCAACCACTGTGTGAGTCTAAATTCTTGCTAAAGGGCCTTCAACCGATTCAACTGACACTCTTCTTTCCCCCCAGACCATATACAGAAACGTACTGGATGATGTATATGAATACCCAATACTCGAAAAAGAATTGAAAGAATTTCAAAAGATACTTGGAATGCACCGTCGTCAGTAAGTTATTTCTTTTTCCATATTTCAGTTAATGAAAGAAGGCAGCAAATGTGATAGAATTTGAGATGTCTTATAAAGTCTATTTTGAACATTTTGAATCTGATATTCATCTCGACTCTTTAGCTTTTCTAGCTGTAAATTGTTTGTTTTGCTTTTATATCGAAATGAACAAACATTAAATTGAGCGTATCAACTATTTTTTAGCCCTATTTTAATACAGGAGAAACAAACAGCCATGATAAGTTAGGTACCTAAAAACAATCATTTGATAAATTATTATTGAGTTTTAACAGTAAATATTTAACTTGTCATTTAGGTAGCTCATAGCTATTCTCTAATAAAATAGAAAAAAAATGTCTTATAAGTAGGTCCCAGCAAATCATAGAGCATTTTAAAAGCTCAATTTTATGTTCCTGAGGTTTGGTTTTATCAATTTAGAAAGATTGAAGATAACCATTTACTCAGTGACTTTCAGCGTGTCAGGGTATCCCCCGGGTATCTCTCATTAGTCTTTCAAATTGCCAAAACCTGACTTTACTCTGTTTATGTGAACTCTCCTTATTTATCTTGGTAAATGAAAACATTAAGTCATTAAGCTTTAAGATATAGCTGCAAAGTTAACCTGAAGGGAAAATTGGCCTCTGATTTACAGTGTAGTTTCCACTTAGCAAACATGAAACATATCTGTTGTTAAGCTGTAAAAGCGTCTGTTAAGATTTAGTAGTCATGGTCAAGTTGGGGACATAGGTAAACACAGCTCACCTCCTCGCACAACCACAGCAAAAATTACAACTATGAAATAAATATCCCCCAGAATTGTCAGAAAATTGTGCTGTATGGAAGTCGACACGCAAGGAATTAAAGAAGACATGTTCGTCCGGTTGGGTAGGAGGGCAGGGAGGAGGAAGCAGAACCAGCAGCCCCACACCCGTGGGGGTGGATAAAAATCAGGAGGGATACCTTGAGAGGAAGGGGTCTCTGGCCCACACCAGACCACCTAGCTCAGGGATCCAATGCCAGGAAGATAAATCCCTATAACTTCTGGCTGTAAAAACCAGTGGGGGTTGGGGTGGCAGAAGAAACTGGGATTCTCAGGCGTCTCCTCCCAAATGACTCACAATGGACTTAGGACTTATGCAGACCCTCTCCCTCTGGGCTCCAGCACTGAGGCAGCACCTGGAAGGGCACCAGTGGCACACGGGGAGAAGCTGAAGTGTGTGGCAGCCTCCTCCCAGGTAAAACTTCAGAGGCCAGGCAGTGGCCATTGTCCGTTTTCTGGGCGCTCTCACAAACAGAGACACAGAGCAGTGACACCATATCTGAGACCCCCCTCAACCTAGTTCACACGGGTTGCCCGATCCTCGCAACTACCTAAGGCCCAATCTAATTCAAATTACAGGTGACTTTTCCCCAAAAGGCCACACTACTAAGACAGGGAGTCAAAGGAGCTGTACCTAATACACGGAAACAAACACAGGGAGGCTGCAAAAAGGGGAGACAAAGAACCATGGCCCAAATGAAAGAATAGAACAAAAGTCCAGAAAAAGAACTAAACAATATGGAGACAAGCAACCTATCAGATGCAGAGTTCAAAACACTGGTTATTAGGATTCTCGAGGAATTCATTGGGTACTTCAACAGCAAAAAAAAAGACCCAGGCAGAAATAAAGATTACACTAAGTATAATAAAGAAAATTTACAGGGAATCAACAGTGAAGTCGATGAAGCTGAAAATCACGTCAACAATTCGGAACACAAGGAAGGAAAAAAAACACTCAATCAGAACAGCGAGAAGAAAAAGAATCCAAAAACATGAGTATAAGACTCTCCTGAGACAACTTCAAAGTTATACCAGCATTCAAATCATAGGGATGCCAGAAAGAGAAGAGAAAGGGCAAGAAATTGAAACCTTATTTGAAAAAATAATGAAAGAGAACTTTCCTAATTTGTTCAAGGAAATAGACATGGAAGTGCAGGAAGCATAGAGAGTCCCAAACAAGATGGATGGATGCAAAGAGGCCCACTCCAAGAGCATCATAATTAAAATGCCGATGGTTAAAGATAAAGAATTTTAAAAGCAACAAGAGAAAAATGTATAGTTACCTACAAAGGAGTTCCCATAAGGCTATCAGTTGATTTCTTAAAAGAAACTGCTGGCAAGAAGTATTCAAAGTGATGAAAAGCAAGGATCTATATCCCAGATTATTCTACCCAGCAAAGCTGTCATCTAGAATGGAAGGGCAGATAAAGTGCTTCCCAGATAAGGTAAAACTAAAGGACTTCATCATCACCAAGCCATTATTACATGAAATGTTAAAGGGACTTATTTAAGAAAAAGAAAATCAAAACGATGAACATTAAAATGGTAATAAATTCATAACTGTCAACAACTGAATCTAAAAAACAAACTAAGCAGACAAGCAGAACAGGAACAGGATCATAGATGTGGAGATCATTTGGAGGGTTATCAGTTGGGGGGGGAAGAGGGAAAATGGGGGGAAAGGTACAGGGATTAAGAAATGCAGATTGGCAAGTACAGGATAAATGGGGATGTTAAGAACAGTATAGGAAATGGAGAAGCTGAAGAACTTACATCCATGACCCATGGACATGAACTGAGGTCGGAGGGGCAGTGATTGCCTGAGGTAATGGAGGATACCAGGTAGAGGAGGGCAAAAGGGGAAAGATCAGGACAACTGTAATAGCATAACAATAAAAAATATATTTTAAGAAAAGATTTCAGCAGTCAGAAATACACATCTCACAGAAGATGTTCATTCCGGCCTTCCAGATTCCTGACTTGAGATATAGAGCCTGACTTAACTGCAGTAAAGGGAGGTCCGACTGTGGGTTAAATGTCTATGTAATTTTCAGGAGCCAATAAATTCTCAGTCATGAAAACCACATGTTTAGAAATTCCAAAATGAGGTGTAATTTAGGACAGTGAGTGAAAAGTGAATGTTGTGAATTTTGGTGGCCTCCTTCGATCAGAGTCTGCAATGCATTGTGTCCATAGTCGAGGGACTAGTGTGAAGGTGGGAACAACTAAGTGAAACAAGAAAGACAGAGTCAATGTCAAAGTTACCCCCCACGTGGAAGTGGGTCTGTGCTGTCAGGGAGGCCGTATTACTGTTGGGAACCTTCCATCCATGGTTCCACACACTTAAATGCACCAGAGGCACTCATGAAATTCAAAACATTCCATTAAAGAGCCTAATGTAAAAGTGGGAAATAAAAGATTGAAATAAGAAAATGATGGGATGTGGTCCTTGTATCCTTGGTATAAGATTATGAAATCTTTAGATTCCGGAAGAAGCTTGGAGTTGGAGACCTGCTGGGTGTCCCCCAGCTCCACCGCACATAGAAATATCCTGGGAAAGATGTAGTTCGGCCACGTGCTTAGTCACCTGAATAGCAGTAATTTCAGCTAAAATGTCATCGGTGTGTGAGAAAACTAGAATGACCGTGCACTGAAGAAGTGCACTTCCTCCTGCGGGGTTCACTTTCTGTGGGTGGAAAGCAAACCGTACCTATTGACTAGACAGCTTCTTTCCTTCCTGGTGCACTGGAAACCCAGAGCCCAAAGTCAAGTGTGTTATACACAGTGAACTAATGAGTACTGAGCCTTATCTTTTGGAAAAGCAAAAGCCCCCGCCCAGTGTCTGAAAAGTAGTCTGCCGCGACAATGACTGCATTATTCTGGGCGTGGGACAACGATTGACCTCTTGTTCTTTTCCTTTCAGCACTGTAGATGAGTATTCGCCGCAGAGGAAGGTAAGGCAGGCTGCTGTCCCTGGGAAATGCGGTTCAGTTTGGAGCCCCGGCCCTGCTCATTCGTACTTCCTCAAGCAGGACAGGGCAAGGCAGGGGCTGGGGCTGCAGCTTGTACCCTGGGGTTTCAGCTTCCCTGTGCTGGTGCAGGTCCCGTGTCAGCCCTGTACCTCTGCTGTGCTCTCACCTGCCTGGTTTTGTGATGCATTTTGAAGTCTCAGAGTTTCCCCTGTGTCCCTAGAGTGATATAAATTTGAATGTCAAACATTGGTGGGGAGAAAAGAAATCCAGGCAAGAAGCTTGACTGCAAGAGTAAGAAAGGCTTTGTAAGAAAAAGTTTTGCACTTTTCAACCCAATGGAGAGAGAGCGGGTAGCAAGAATGCATGTGTTTCCTATCCAACTTGAGGGAGAGACTGTAAAGTGAGATGTTAGACACAAGTTGCATAGACGCTGATAAAGAACCTGTTGCCCTTAAGAAAGTCACTGTACTCCAGCACTGAGACCATCTCAAGTCGCTTTACCCACAGGGAAGGTTGATATGGGGATGGGGAAATGGTGTCTGTGCAGAAGAACCTGGGGTGTTGTCGTTAGTAACCAGATTCCCCTCCAGCATGTTGCAAGGAAGGATTATGGGGACTTTTTGCCTGGTGCTGGCCTTGGCGGAGGCCTGTCGTGTTGCTCAGACTCTCCGATTCCACATGCTTTCACTGAGGCAACTCCCAGTCTATTCCTCTATGATTGGATGGTGCATTTCATACTTAAAAAACGAAGTTGGCTAGCTTGTTTGGAACATGTTGTAAACAGCTGTGGCTTTCCAAAGGGCAGGAACACATTCATTCATTGTTCTCTTTCTCCCTTCTCACAGAGTAAAGCCCTTTTCCACCAGTTCAGTCTGAAGGAGAACTGGCTGCAGCATAGAGGGGCCATGTCGGAAACAGAGGAAAGTGAGTGTGGTTCGGACGGGGTTTGGGGAGGTGAGGGGCTGTCTGTCCATCAGCGGGGCTCCCCAGCATTCACACAGCAGCCTGCCGTTAACCACCTCCAGCTGTCACGCCCTTTAAGGAGCATATTAACGTCAAAAAATGATGGCTTTTCTTTTCCGGCTTTGGCATTACCATCTTCATGATCATGTACTGGTGTCCCAGGGACCAAGGACGGTTTCAGTTGGGGAAATAAGACGAGGAGACAGCAAAGAGCCTCCTTCGTTCCTGGGGAGAGGGGCAGGACTGCCTGGGAACACAGCCTGCCCTGGGGGTGTCCACTCCCAGCTCTGTGAGCCCATTGCCTGGGACTCACCGGGAAGTCCACCGAGGCCCACATGCAGGGCACATTTAGAGGGGAAATCTCAGCAAAAATCATAAAAGGAAGGATGTGCAGTCAGAATTCCTATGAGGCAAGGCTGCGCCAGGCATTGTCACACACCCAGATGTCCTCACTCGGTGCCCGGCAGTGCCCCAAAGGGCTCCTGACCCACCGGGAAGAGGGCTGGCCCGCCAGCTCGAGGGGAAACGCTTTGTTAGTGCCCTGAATACGCTGGCGCGCTTCTCTGTGGTAATATCTTGTAACACAACAGAACCTCATTTCCTCCTGTTTGGATCAAGGTTGAGTCAAGTGCAGAGCGGGAAACACTTCCAGCAATTAAAGTGGTTACACTATTGTGACTCAGAGACTTTCTCTTTTAAAACCTTTCCAATAAGTACTGAAATTCTAAGCGTGAGCATTTAACATCGGCTCAACTTCTTAAACACATAAAAAGCAAATTGCCACAAGCATACTTCTTCTGTCACATTGTTTGTGTATAAAGCCGCCCCTGAGGGTGCTGTCGTGTGGTGATAAGAAGAAGAGCAAAGGAAATGATCTTGCCTCCTAATTCCCTACTTGCTGACCTTCCTTGCCTCTGCGCCTCTCAGTTTAATTGTCTGATCTTCCAAGCCGAGTTTCAAACAGGCCGAGTATTTCAGGGCCCTGGTCCTCTCTTTGTTCATCAGTTTGTTGAGCAAGCTGTAAGCTTACATCATAGTTAGGGGTTAGTCAATCAGATCTTTGCCTCGCTCAAAAATTCCATGGTTCTGTGCGTGGAAAAAAAGCCTTCTTGTCTCTCACGAGTCTGTTGACAACATATAAAACAACTCTTTGTTAGTTGCTATTGTTTTAGTGGCACGCCTTACCAAACCAAAAGCAAAATACGGCCAGCGCCTCCTGGTGGTGTTTACTGTGAGGCTCACACACGTAAACGCATAGTGTGTCTTTTGCTTTACTTGCATTTCTGTGAAAACATTCCTGGGTTTATTCTTGTCGTGCCGTTTAAGTCACACATGCAATTTCTCTAGCAGCTGCATGCCTCTTTTAAAAAAAATTTGTAATATAGGAGAGGAAAATATCTAAGTACATTATTGTCCTTCTGTGTTTTCTAAAAAAGCTAGTGTTTTATTGTTCGGAATAGCTGATATAAGAAGCAAACAATGTGCCAATTATCTGCATTGCTATTGAAACAGTTTCTGCTATTAAGTCATAAAGAAACATTTTTCCCGGACCTGTTCACCCAGCTAGTGATAATGTCCTAGTAATAATAATTAGCACCGCAGACAATGAAAAAGAAATTACAACGGCTAGAAACGTGACCTCTCTTTGGAAACAAAGCTCACCACCATCTTGATCAGGAAAGGGGGGTGTCGTTCTTAAAAAATCAGGAAGACTGAACAGAAAAACAGTGGCAGATGACAGATTTTTAGATAAGCACGTGAGAATTCTAACAACGACCGTGCAACTGCCCAGGAGTGGAGTGTAAAGTAAAAGGGTATGTGTTAGACGGGCGGCGTGGGGAAGCTAAGCCCTCCTCAGGCTTGGTCACCGGCTTCCACCGAGACCATCCATGTCTTGGGCGTGCGAGCACATGTTTGCACGCACGTCCCCTCAGGTGCCTGTGTGCAGACAGAAACAGGTGAATCTAGCTATGGGTGTTTTGCACCACAGAGACGAGGGAGGAAGGTGGGTGCCTCAATTTAGGGAAGTCTGCACCTCATCGGCACAGTCCTCTGCTGTCTAACAAGGCTTCTCGTCTCATGCAGTTTTCTGCCATGTGTACGTGACAGAGCACTCTTATGTCAGTGTGAAGGCCAAAGTTTCCAGTACCGCCCAAGAGATCCTGAAAGTGGTGGCCGAAAAGATCCAGCATGCGGAAGAGGACCTGGCTCTGGTGGCCGTCACGTTCTCTGGGGGTAAATGGCTTTCTGTCTTTGAATAGTAATCTCTCACTGGATCTCCTCCAAGAGGAGAGAGTTGACATTTTTATAGAGTAAACGCGCAGCTCGTGTCTTCTGGGTCCGCAGCTGGGTGACCACTGGAACAATGAGGAGCCACCTACCAGAGGTGTTTCCATGACAACGGTTGGGGACTGTTGGATACTGAATTCCCTCCCCTAGAACTGAATTAGAGAGGCAGGCCCATGTTTTGAAATATATTATAAAGCTTTTCTTTCGCATTTGGTACTCTAGATAAACCTTCTATTTTCGTATTTAAATTAACTTGGGAAATGGCTAAAGGATGAAATTACTTTAGGAAGAAAAAAGAAAGACAGCCTTGAACTAGTCATGGTGCTGGCTGACAATTTAATACTTAAAGACTCCCTGCTGAGGGAAATGAGAACCGCACCGTGCTCCCGAAGCTCGTTCCTTCAGGTGGACGCAGCGAGTAGGCCTGGTCACAGCCTTTTCTTCTGGTGGGCCTTATTTACCCTCCGAGAAGGGTTTACTGTCTGTTTGGAGTAAGATCACACAGACGACAAGCTGACACTATTGATCGGTGCGACCTGCACAGACCCCTTCATTCTCACCAGAGCCTGTCAGGCTTCCGTGCCACCGGCCCCCTTGTTGGCTTACCGTCTTTATTTAATATCTCATTAACCCTGAGGCAAATACCAAGAAAGTGACCTGGCATCAATCGCTGAAAACTAGGGAGGGCCAGGTGGGGGAGCGGAAGCAGATAGCCGGCGTTTCTGCTTGCCCTCTGTTATCATCACTCTAGAGGCAGGACAAGGGTGTCCAGTGCCACAGTAGAGCATTAGGTGACAGAATAGCTTCCATCGCTGCGCGTCACTCGGCACCAGGTAAAATGGTCCTAACAGGCTCCTCAATTACACGTGCAAACACACACAGCCCTAATGAACGACAGCGTCCCTCCCTCTCCCTCTCCTCGGGCCCTCATTGTGCATTCCTCCCACGCTGTCTTCCACGTTGTCTAGAAAGAAAGGGGCAAACATTTGAGAAACATGTGGGTTACAGGAAGTTTAATTAGGGGGTGATGAAATTTTTTAATAAAATATTTCAGACATTCCAGATGGATATGATAAATGCACATTATAGTTCATTTTAAGTGACCAAAAACTATTGAATGGTTCGAACCAATATTTGGTCCTATGAAAACCAGCACTTTGACAGAACCAGCACAACAAGTGATCGCTGGGTCCCTGTTTGGACAGAAGGTGCAGGAGAAGAGAGCACCCCGAGCGAGCTTGGTGGCACAGCAGACTCCCCTGGGACCCAGCAGGGCCACGCGTGAGCCTGGAGATGAACGAGTGGCTCCTTTGCTCCCCGACATCCACTCAGTGGCCCTGAGATACCGTGTTACACTCTGTTCAGCAGGATGCATCAGGGTGGCTGGTGGCGTAGAGAGAGACTCATTGCTGATCATCACTAGAAGTATCAGCTGATCCCCGAGTGATCCCACAGCTTTGGAAATGTGCCATCATTTCCCTTCAATTAGTAGTTTTGTCCCTTAAGAACCTTTCTGCCTGCAGCTTAACATCCCCCCAAACAATCATGTTTTTATGAGAGAGGAAAAGAAACAGAGCTTAATGTATTCCTTGTTCTAGCTACATAATTTTCAATAAATAATGTTTTAAATGCTACTGCAAAATGAAATGACAATGAGATCTACTGTGGATTTAGTTTTCAAAAAGAGTTTAAAGATGTTGGCAATCGGTTGGTTTTGTGAATTTTTTTAAGGGACCGGTAGCGATGAGCCCCGTAGCTTTTGATAGATGTAGAGCCGTTTTTATACCAAGGGTGCGTGTGTGTGCGTAGGAACAACAAACATGCCCGGTTATTCAGAGCTGAAGATTTTATCAGTTTTTATAGTGCAGTGACCAACCTGAAAATAAGGGAGAACATTTCTTAGCACCTGGAAAAACGATGGAGAACGCCGCGGCGATTTACCCCCTAGCAAGCATGGGCTCCCTCCCGTACCTTCCGATCTGACGTGTACGGGGGCACACAGCGGGTTGTAGGAAACTGTAGCCAGACAGAGGGGGGAGATGGAAGCACTTCAGGGCCCAGCCCCGTGGGACCGTTCGTTACACACGTCCGCAGCCCGACCTGCTGGCCGTACAGAATATATTAGATTATCATTTGTGTGCTCTCTATGAAGCAGAACTGTTCAAAACAAAATTTGGCATTTTAACTGATTAAGTTATATAGCAAAAGATGTGGGGTATTGCATTTCCCGACCATGCTGGATATCTGAAGGGCTGCTTTAGGAGAGAAGCTGGTTATATTACCGTGGAATAAACTTGAGTATTACTTGAGTCAACTCCCATCCACGTCTGTAGTTAGGAGGAGAATACTTCTCCGTTGTGGTGTAAGAGAGCACCAGCGATAATGCAAAAATGGTCAGAGGATAGGAACCATTTGCAATAAGGAAAATAAAATGGAAGAAGAATATGTGAAAAATTTCAGCTTCAATAGTAGTCAAGAAGTACAAAATAAACTGCAAATCCATTTTTGGTTTCCACAAAAGAACAGACTTACCAAAACTGACAATAAGTGTTGGTCAGTGTAAGAATTAGAAAGGGGTTTGACAGTTTGTATCGAAAACTTTAAAATTACTTATCCCTTTTCACCCAGTAATCCCACTACTGGGAATCTATCTTAAGAAAATCATCACCCTGACTAGCGTGGCTCAGTTGGTTGGGCGTTGTCTCACAAAGCTAAGGGTTATCAGTTCGATTCCTGGTCAGGGCACATGTCTGGGTTGCAGGTTTGGCCCCCATTCAGGGCATGTAAGACATAACCAGTTGATGTTTCTCTCTCCCAACAATGGTTCTCTCCCTCTCTTTCTCCTTCCCTTCCCCTCTTTCTACAAATAAATAGTCTTTTAAAAAAAGAAAGAAAATCGTCAATAAGCAGCCCGAGATGTATGCACAAGGGTGTTGATTTCAGCAATGTACGTATGGCTGCCATAATAATAGGTCCCATTAATAAGCCCCTGGTATGTGTCTGGCCCTGTGCTAAATGAGATTTAGCAAACATCTTGCCATCTCATTTATATGAGGAAAAAAAGAAATGAAAAATGTCCAACAAAAGTGGAAAGTTTAAGTGATGCTATAATAGACTGTTATGTAACCAATTAAGCATGACATATATAAATAATTTTGACAAGTGGTTAAGTGCATGTAATAAAATTAGAATATAAAACTACATATGGAATAATTGCACACATATGTATTCATAATAAGTATGTATGTATGTATAAATAATTGCCAATATATGTATGTGTATACACACACACTTATACATAAAGATCAGAATAAAAATATACCCAAATGTTAACCAGTATTACTATCATGTGGTTATACTTAGGGTGATGGGATTATGAGTGAATTTTACTTTCTCCCCTGAAATGTTCTGTGTTCCAAAGAGCAACTGAGTATTATACGAAAAAATCACCAGAGGATTCCCCTTTATGGAAAACACGGAGCGACGCCCAAGCCCTCACCGGTACCTGTATAGAGTGTGCAGAACTAAATTCAATCTACTTTACATCCTATTTACTTCTAAATATGCTTCTCTGGCAAGTTTCACTCTTTAGATGTACCTTGTATGCCTACTGCTGTTCTTGTGCTTCTAATTACTCTGTTGTGTTTTTTTTTTTTAATAAAGAAAAGCATGAACTTCAGCCAGATGACTTGGCGATCTCCAAATCCCTGGAAGCATCTGGTCGGATATATGTCTACCGGAAAGACCTGGCTGACACTTTGGTGAGGACCTTTGGCCTTGTCCTTGAAACACACAGACACAAATGCCAGATGAAGAACATACTTGTGTGCGTTTTACAGTGAATGTTAGAAAAATACATTGAACGATTTCCTCTCCTAGCCAACAGTACACTTATCAAGTTAACACTGCTTTGCCAAATCAAAGACGCACAACCTGACGAATTCTAAACCCTTCCTCAGTCAAATCCCCCTTCTCTCTGAGCCCCTCAGACGAGGGATTTGAGACCTGGGGTCCCTCTCCATTGGGATCTTAATTCCATTTCTTCATTTCTGGAGGGTGTGTGGAGAGCAGGCTGAGAAATGCACCCTGTGTGAGTGGAAGGGGGAGGGGACTGCCTTCGTCACCGTGCATTTGGTGCCCTGGGAGTGTCCCTGCCCTCGAAGAGAGGGGGAGGGCTCAGCCTTCCCTGGGTGAAATGGTCTCATAACAACAATGGGACATCGATGCCACTGAAGAAGAAGCATCTGAAATAATGTGGGCCCCACAGTGTAGGATACTTTCAGTTCAAATTTAAGACCATGTACACCCAATGAAATGATTGGCGGGTTGTTTCTAACACCCTCAGTTTAAGGCTGCTTGCTGTACAGTGGGGTTCATCTCCCAGAAGCAGCAGGCTTTACCGACTGGGACTGTAACATCTGGTCTTACGGTCCTAGTCTGCTTCCTTGGGTCAGAACCAGGCTGGGTCTACTTATCTGGTTCCTGTTGTATATATAATTGGGGACTATGTACACCATGTGGGCAAATGAAAATTGCTTATAATAAAAATGCTTTCTGTTAAATTATCTACAGGATATCAAGCTACCATAATATCAGTCACTGTCATTTTTAATACTTAACCAGAAACATAGGTGCTGAGTAACTCACATCCATATCTCATTTAACATTCCCAGTGACCCTGTGAAGGTCGCAAAGGCTGCAAGTAGCTTACTCTAGCTTCCAACAACCAAGGAGACAGTGCTAGGATCCAGCCCCTGTACATTCAGCTCTAGAGCCCCTGTGCCTTCCTTTCATTTGGATATGATGAGAGAAAAGAGGGAAACCTTTTGTTTAATGTGGGCCCCTTCCAGTTCTCAGTGTCCCACGGGTCAGTGGTCCTGTGGCTGCAATGATGTAATTGCATCAGTGAAACATGACATGCTGGACAATGTTATGCAGTGTCTTTGAGTAAATAACGAGATTGATGTGACTTCACTTCTCTGGAGGAGGACAGTCTACGGAGCAGCTGCTCTGGGCTCCTGGCGGTGGAGGGGACCTGCAGCCTAATCGTCTCCCACCCTCTGGCCTTGTGCTTCCCAGACTTCTCTCACAAGTCCCGGGTGCCCAGCTCCACTGCCCAGGGCCAGTGGCGGGGGAGGGCAGGCCCCGGTCACTGTCTTCATGGGTTAGTAGGTGCCATGCGGTGTGTTCTGAGAGGAGCCAATCAATGTTTCCCCCATGAACTTTGCACACCACCTAAAATTTTCCTGTTGGACTCATAGCTGTAGGTCTTTTATCTCCAAAATATTTCTGTTGAAATGGGACGTTGCAAGGGAAGAATAATATATGAAACCACTAACACACACTCTACTTGTCTATAGATTGATTATATCTTGGAAAGCAGGAACTAAAGTGTGGAATGAATGGGAAAAATACATATAAAGTGTTTCTTTTTTTAAATACTTTATTTATTTATTTTTAGAGAGAGGGGGAAGGGAAGGAGAAAGAGTGGGAGAGAAACATCACTGTGTCGTTGCCTCTCATGTGTCCCCTACTAGGGACCTGGCCTGCAACCCAAGCATGTGCCCTGAGTGGGAAACTCCACACCGTCTCCCGCTCTGGGAGCAGATTCAGTTTGCATCTGCTCTGAGTGAAATTAAGTCTGTGAGAAAGCTCGGTGGGGGTCTTTGGCCAACTGTTTATAAATGTAAGAATTCTAAAATGCAAACAGCGTATCTTGCTGTTGAGAAACAGATTGATATTTGGAATCTGAGCTATTCCCTTCATCCTGCTATGTCATTTAGTTCGTAAAGTCCTATTCTCTTTCTCCTAAGTCATTAACTATTTCAACGTCATTAACTATTCAAGTCCAGACCCTCAAATGGGAGAATTTATATCTTAATTGAAAGTAACATATTTTGAAAAGATGCTAAATCATTTTTAATACGTTGAACAGTGACAATAGACTTGAACTTGTGGTGGCATTGGGTAATTTCATGCTGTATTTTAAGGAAATCTGTCACCAAACATGTACCTGTGTGTACAGGGAAAGCAATTGATACTTAACTATCCACCATGGGGTATAAGTGAAGAAAGTTTTTTTATTTCATGTTTCAATTTTTTTTTGTTTTTGTTTTTTTGCTTTCCACAAGCATTTTAATAAAATTTGTACATGTGTGTCTGGGCTGAGACTTGTTAAACATATTTCCTGTAAAAGCTGTGTCTGCCTTTATTGAAGTGCACCGTGCCATTTCTCCTGTTTGTTTTTGTACCAGCCCTGCTGGCACGTGGATTCTTCCCAGAAGCCCAAGTGGTTTCGGGGCTTCAGCCTTCATTACGCTGCCTGCCCCGGCCGTGTTTCACAGTCAGAGTTGTGTGGGTACGTGGGAAGGTGGCAGGGACGGGCTCACGCACTGATCACTTCTGCTGTCCTCAAGGCTGCTTCCTAAAGTGGCTGTAACTCGCTGAAGGTGAACAGACCGGGGGAAATATTAAGTGCCCTCAGACAAGATTGCCTTTCTCATCTGGGCGTCTAGTGCCTTTCCATGGGAAGCCAGCACAGAGCCAAATGCTGGGACTTACTGAGGATCCGTTTGCTTCTGTTGGTTTAGAACCCATTGGCAGAAAACGAGGAGTCGCAGCAAAGGCCGATAAGGATTTTGGGAATGAATACTTGGGATCTTGCTCTGGAATTAATGAATTTTGATTGGAGTCTCTTCAATTCAATTCATGAGGTAAGGAAAGGGTGAAACAATCAAGGAAATGCTAGTACTCTTTGTGAATTCTTTTCAAAGAATGTTTGTGTGTGTGATTAGGTTTTTAAAAGATCCATCATCTGGTGATACTATTATGCTAGGGTACCATGGTCCAGAAAGATATTCGAAAGGCTGATCCAGTCCTAGGAATCAGAATACAATGCTGGGCTTTATTTGGTCCTGATACAATCACATGTTTGTACAATTAGTATAAACATGTCATATTTTTATATGTATGAACACGTGTGTATGTGTATCTATACACGGAGCTCTGATGGGATTGAAGAGCCATTTTGTGTTTGATACCTTTGATACTTGTATTAATTTTCCCCATAAAGTTTATAATTAAACAAGAACCACACATTATTTATGTATATACATGTCTATACACACACACACACACACTCATCCTTTTACTGAAGAACATTCTGTAAGTTCAGACTGTCCAGCAAGAAGACTTCAAGTGCTTTCTTGAAAACTCCGAGATATATTTCAGATTTCTGTGTCCATCAACTTCTCCCTTGAGGACAGCTCGTAACAGTGACAGACTATGGGGCAATGCTGCTGACAGTTCATGAATAAATGGAGCCGGCGGAGAGGTGCCCAGGAGTGAGCGGTGTGGCTGCTCCGCAACCACCCGATGTGGCCCTTGCTTTGCCACTGAGGGAAGTTTTTCTTATGAAACGGCCCTTCCTTCTGAAGAGAAGCTCGTGCCCAACTTAACCCAATTCATTTGGGAAGGACTTTTCAGTGCCCTCATATTTTCTTGTTGAATTTTCCATGTGGTGATGTAATTTTGAGTAAGTAGGGAAGTCATTCCCGCTAAATGTCTCCTGACTTTGGAAATGTCGGTAGAATGGGATGTGTCCCTGCTTCTGCCCTGGAACAGTGCCAGTTATTTCTGTGAAATGCACACACCTCCATTTGAAATGAACCTGCTCCATTGCTTTACGTGTAATCAACCTGTACAGAGTAAATAGTTACTAGTTACTGGTCTTACTTGTTTTTTGTTTTTGTTTGTTGGACCCTGTTCTTTCTGTTTACGGTTTGGCACTGTCTTCCATCAGTGGTTCTCCAACAGTAGGTCTCTAGAACAAAATCATCAGCACCACCCGGAAACGTGTTAGAAACAGACATTTTTTGTCCCCACCACAGACCAGCTGAATTGGAAACGCTGGGTGGGGGGGTGTTCCTGATTCTTACTGAAATTTGAGAACCCTCGTCTGGAGAATCTACCTGCGAGGGTCTAATGTGCATCTGAACAAATGCTAGTGATGGTATTTATTCATTTGCACGTGAATTTGCCAATAGAACAAGTTTAGGAAGTTTGGATCTGATTCAGCCTGTGATTTAAACTTCGAATGCCTTAGATTTTCATGTAGAGGCATCATTCTTACACTCTTAAAAAATTTATATAAGGGCTCTAAGTGAACGTTATTTAATGAGGCATCGCTAAAACTAAAGATAAGTTTATCTTTAAAATGAAAGAAAGTTTTCAAATATAATATGTTATTATTTGTCACATTCTCATATTGTGATATGACGGTGGCTACCAGAGATAGCTCTTTAAAATGGACTAAATTTTGTACCAACTTGACTGTGTGCTAAAAATAAACACTGACGTGAGCGTATTTTCTTTCAGCAAGAGCTGATCTACTTCACGTTCAGCAGACAAGGAAGCGGGGAGCACACGGTGAACCTCAGCCTCCTGCTGCAGCGCTGCAACGAGGTCCAGCTCTGGGTGGCCACGGAGATCCTGCTCTGCAGCCAGCTGGGCAAGCGAGTGCAGCTGGTGAAAAAATTCATCAAAATCGCTGCTCAGTGAGTTTCTAGTGGCGAAAAGTCCAGTCCCTCTCATCTCCTTGCAAGAGTACTATTTTATTTTCCTTGTGATGATAAGAAGGGTTGGATGTAAAGGGGTGATCCTGAGTTAACTGACCAAATGCTTGAGACGGTCTGTCCATGCATAGTTATGTATTTGCATTTGAAGTATTTATATTTTAAAGTAAATGTCAAAATATCAGACTGAAGCACTCTGCTCCATGCTGTAGAACTAATAAGCACACATACCTCATCCTGCAGCTAAATTACAATGTGGCCAGGGAGCTGCAGTAGCCTAGGAAAACAGGGTAAGCTGAGCGAAGGGGAAATATCGTTGAAAATGCAGTGTGTTCGAGAATCCTGCTCTGGGCTCCTGGGTGCCCACAGTATGAACTTTACAAACTCCTTAGCGGGGCCCACATTGGCTGGTCCCTCCTGACCTCTGAGCCCCACCCGCTGGGTGCACCCCACGCCACAGCCACTCTTTCCCGTGCACCCGGCCCCCAAGCACGGATGCGTGTTGCCACCTCTGCTAAAAGCGGCCCCTTCCACCCAGCAGGCTGCTGCCGCTCTTTACAGCATAGGCCAAATGTGACTTCCTCCTGGAAAACATTGGTGATTTTCAAATGCAAGGTCAGCTACTTCCTACCCTGACTCCCTCCCCTGCACACACATAGACATGAGATTTTCTTTTTAAAAATTTCTTTATTCTGTGTATTGAACTTCCCTCTTTATGTAGGGCTCCTTCGGGGGCTGTGTTAACCTCCAGCGGACAGGGACCAGTTCTAATCAGTCACTGCTTTGGGAGCCTGGTACAGAACTTAGTGAGTACCAACGACCCAGTAAATGTTGGCTGCATGACCTTTTTTATTAAAGTAAGTTGCTGGGAGCATCTCTTAAAATACCTGGTCCGCATCCCCAGACTGCCCTTGGGGCAGCTCCCAGCAGAAGCAGGCAGCAGCAGCCAGGCTTTCCCAGTGCCGGCCTTCCCAATTCATTTCTCCTTTGTCTTCCAGAATAGTTGTTGCACCAGAGTGTTTTTGAGTGCCTGGCAGTGTAACCTATTCGGCGACTATGGATTGATCACTCGTTAGAGGTGCAGATCCATGCAGGCTGTTGTGGGGAAGTCCCGGTACCCCGGGCCCTGCCTTCAAGGAGTTTGCGGTCTGCTGGCAGAAGGGACTGTGTTTCCTTAATGCAGAGTTCCCACCTTGGAGGCTCTGTTGGGGGGAGCTCACATACCAACGATGAGGCAAAGGAGGGTTTGAAAAACAACTTGTGAAAGTTAAGTAGCATCCAAGGTGATAATGGCATCCTGGGTAGAATTTGACTGTTATCAGTACAAAAGAGGTCAGAGTCATGGTGGGGGCGTGGGGGAGCAAGACACAGAGAACGTGTGGTCTGGGGAAGGACCCGCATCCAGTTTGACCCCAGTGGGGAGGGTATTGGTGAGGAAGTCGTGGGAGACTCATCTGCAGAGAAAGATGGGAGCAAATGGTTAAGGATTTGGGATTTCAGACTGAGGAGTGCAGCCTGCCTTGGGGAGCCACTAGGGATTCCCTGGCAGTTTTTGTGCAGGAAACTGATGATCAAAGTTGTCCCTCGGGAAGGTTGGTGTGCAAGTTGCACGGAGACTGAACTGTGACCCAGAAGCAAGGTTGTTTTGTTCACTTAGATGACAGATAGTGGAAGTACCTGACTTGTTCAGTGTGATTGGACTGGAGGGAGAGAGAGATGAGCCTAAACCTTGGACTCTTTTTTTTTTTTTTTAATTTGGCCAATGTGTTTTCATAATAGTCTGTGAAATACTTAAAGGTGAGGCTTTATTGGGTCAAAAAGTCCTTATAAATATCAGTAACTAGGATAAATGGGATACTGATGTCTCAAGGAGTAAAATGACAGCACACAGCTCTGTTCCCAGTGTAAGATTCTACTGGTCCACAGGGAAATAGAATCTACTCACATCCTCTCTGTGCGGCATCATGATCTTGAATTATTTACAGAACTGGTCTCTAAGCCTAGCCCGTGGTCTGGAATGCCAATAGGAACGCAAAGTTAAATTTTTTATAATCACAGGAGTAGGAGTAACCGCCGGAAAATAATAATTTCCATGATCACGAAGTGTGTTTCCTGCCTAAGGCATCCTATTTGCATATTCATGTTTCCCTTCCTCTCACCATCCCCTCCCCCCACCTCTGTGGATTGGGTGGGTTTTATTCCCTCACACAGACAAAGGAGTGTTGGCTAAACTGGAATGTTTAGTGTCAGGCAGCCCGTTCTTATCACGGAATGAATGAGTCTTGGGAACTGGAACGGTGTCCAATATTTGTGCTGCCTCAGTTTGTCTTCTGGAGAAATTGTGTCTGTGTTCATTCCTTTTTACAGATTCGGGTGTTGGTTACATGTGCTTTTTTTGTTTTAAGTATGAATGAAAAAGAGATCTGGACCAGGAAAATTATTTGGGTGGGGGGAGTGGCTAAAAGATAAAACGATGAGGATTATATCTAACATTCCACAGAGATAAATGCTGCTAAATGAAAAGAAGAATAGATTTTTTTATAATGAATAATAATAGAACCATTTCCCCCCCAAAAGTCTTGGTTTCAATTCTAGTAAATGCCATCTGAGTAGCTTGCTATATGCAATGTGTAATTTAGTATGGCATGTAACTGCAAGAACAAGATACAAAGTTAATGTATATACGCTGTTCCCAAAGTCTATCTGAGATGCTGGTGGAGATGTCAGGGAAGAGATGGCATCTGAGGGAAGCTAAATTAACATACACTAAGTATTTTTTCTGCACCCAGCTCGCTGCTAAGCACTTGCATATTTTTCATGTTTAATTACCAAGTTAGGGTAGTCTCTTCATTTTAAGGACTTAACCTCAGAGCAGTTCTCCCCTCCTGAGTCCCAGATCAAGCAGTGTCTAGAATTCACAGGCTGTTCTGGCCAACCTGGAAGTACAACCTCCCTGTGGTCTGGCAAATGCCCTCAGCAGGCTTTAAGAATTGGTGGAACTTTGACCACTTAGGTCAAGGGCATGACATTATGCACAGCAGAGAACCTTGCAGAGTGAGTGGGGTGCAGTGTGATCTTGTTTTGCATTTTATCTCCTTTTCTCTTTAAATGAGAAATGTGGGACAGGGTCCCTATAATATATGCCATATTTTACGTAAGTGCATAACACAGTAGCAATTTTGTTCATGGCAAAGAAAATGTGTATAAATGTAATGGGATGGGCAGCTTAGACCCATGAGGTGAGGGGGGCTTGTCTCCCACAAAGCAGACAGCTTGCTGACACAGGGGCAGGGCTAGAGAGCCTGTATAATGAGAGCAAGGGGTATACAAAGAAAGACGAATGTAAGAATTTTTAGTTGAAATTGTAAATGCATCCAAATTAGGGTTTTTAAAAGGAGGAAGTTTTTGAAGTGTCCGAAGGTATCAAGAACATAGATCTCCTGCAGGTAAGGATGCACTCAGGCGCTTGGCATAGGCTCATTTCTGTAAGAGACACCTGAAGGGGCCCCAGGGCACTCGAGGGTGTGTGGGCTGTGGAGCAGAGTCCAGCCCTGCCCCAGAGGTTGAACTCAATGGCCTAGGGGAGTATTGCCAGGGGCAGCTTTTGTGATCGTCTAGAGAAAGGATGTTGCCTCAGAGTGCCTTCTGCCTTCTTTTATGCTGCAGCTGCAAAGCCCAGAGAAACCTGAATTCTTTCTTTGCCATTGTGATGGGTCTCAACACCGCTTCCGTCAGCCGGCTGTCCCAGACCTGGGAGGTGAGCCCATCGGTCTTCATGGAGAGGGAGGAAGAGGGAGAAGGAGGGAGGAGGAGGGAGAAGGAGGGAGAGGGGGGATGGATAAAACTGAACGGACCCGGTCCAGCAAGAAGCCTTCATTTACAATGCACAGACTGACTTACACGGCTTAAGTATGTACTACTAGAAAAAATGTTTAAAAAAATAATGTCCTGGCAGGCACCACTGTGATCAGATGGTCTTCACAGTGGCTGTGTGATGTGTAGGACAGAGGTGAGAGCTGCCCCCAGCTCCAGCCAGCCTTCCCCTGCGCTGCGCCCGTGACGGTGTGGCCCCGGTCCCCTAGGGAGCCTGTCCAAGCTCCCCTGTGTGAGGTTACGGGGCTGGGAGTCTAAGGAGTCAAGCTCGTGGGCACCCCACCAGCAGGGTCCTGGCAGTATGTCCCCATGGGTGATGCACATCTTTGTAAAATTTGCAAAAGTAAAGTAACTTTGTATTCATTTTCTTAAAGAAGGCCCCACAATACTGTAAGTTTCGGGCCTCCAGGACCCTGGCCCTGCCCCTGTTGGTGGTGTGTGAGGAAGGCTGTTTAGGTTCTCAGATGGAGGGGCCCACAAACGCGAGCGTGTGTTCCCAAACATGGACTTGAAGGGTATACATGCAGGAACTGAAATGGGGACTTCCCTGATTTTAACCAGACACAGAGGTGGGGCTCTCTGCCTCGCCCACGGCCCCATCCCTTCTCTCCTCGGGGTTTGTTTCCTCTGCTCTCTGCTTCGTACCATGGGCCATTCTCTGCCTCGTCCCGTCTCTTCGTCCATCACATCTCCCTGCTGGCTCTGGCCTGCATGTGGCTCCCTGCAGTCTCCTTAGCCTCCCTCCACTTTTCCTAGATTCAGCTCTCATCAGTGACTGCGCCAGTCTCTTCCTGGTTCCCAATGTAAACTCCCCTAAGAGAGAGGCTGAGAGGCCAGCTATTTCTCTTCTCACTTTAGATCTCAACGTAGGTCTGTGGGCAACTTACGGACCCATTTTCGGTGAGGCAGGGAGATGCTCTGGTGGGGCACGGTGGCGGGTGCCCCTGGGCCATCCGTGCGGCAGGCCCAGCAGACGGCGGTGTGCTGCTCAGAGGCATGATGAGAATACGTTGCAGACGGCTACGTTATCTCTGTTCTCGTGCCATTTGTCCCCCATTCATTAGTGCAGTTGTGCCTATATAACAATAGTTTCCAAACAGATTAAAGTGCCCACTTGCTGTGGTTAACTGAGTCCAAATTCAAAATTGTCAAATTGAGAAGTCTGTTTCTAAATAATTCAAAAGGCTAATTATTGGGGGGGGGGCCCTCAATCACTTTGATTTGGTTGGGAAACAGAAAGTCCCATGAATATCTTCCAGAAAGTAGGCATTTGTGTTCATACCTAGAATTTGTTAAGCACCAACCAGGAGCAGCACACTTTTTATGGCCATCTCCCTATCAGTCAGAGAGCTGGGAGCTGGCAACAATCCACGCAGCTAGGAAGCCACAGAGGCAGAGTTCAAGTTCAGACTGTCTTCTCACTGCATCTGTACGAAAGGTGCCCAGCTTTTCACTCAATCACGTAAAAGGCTGGCGGGAAAATGCCAGACTCTTCTTCCTCGGACCCAAATTTGTACCTGGGAGGATGGCATACCCTCTGCTGTTTGACCCGCTACCTGTTCGTGTGGTTCATCTCCATAGTTCAGTGAGTCTGCCTGTCAAACCGCCAGCTTTGTCACTCAGGGTTTTCATGGCCTTTCACTAGTTTAGGCCTCTGCTGTGAAACATAATTATATCATTTGTACAAAAAAAGTCAGCTGACATTATTATTCCCAACCAGCAAGGCTATTTAAGAAGATGAGAGTGTCCATCAAAGGTAGGTTATGAACTGAAATCCAAGTTTTTATTAAAGAACCACCAGTGTGTGGAATGTCCAACCAGCTGGATTCCAGTCACATGGCTGGCTGTTAAGTATTTTAAGCCATTTTTAGCCACCTTCCTAAGGAATGTACTGTTTCTCTGGGAATGAAAATCGCGTCATGAGAGGCAGTCTGGGTGGACCCGACGAGAGATGGGTTTATGTGGGGGTGCGGGGCACGGGAAGCCCCACGTAACAAACATTCCCTGGTCACCTCTCAAATTAATGGACTTCTTTGACCTTTTCTTGTCTGTGTGTTTGTTTTTAGAAAATCCCTGGGAAGTTTAAGAAACTTTTCTCTGAACTTGAAAGCTTGACCGTAAGTACTTGAGCCGGAGGGGGCTTGTTCTTCGAATTCTTTGCCAGTGTCTGACTTGGTCCCAGACCCCAGTGGTGGGCAGCTTGGACGGGGGCACCTGTGTGTGAAAATTCAGTGTCACTTCCTAGGAAGTGAAGCAAGTCTGCAGTTCATGCTGCTGCTTCTTCGTGGGAAAACGTGGTGAAAAGGGTCCTTTCACTATGATTCTGAGAAGGTGGATTTCTAAGGACAGTCCGTTTCAAAGCCTGTGGAATTGGTATCAGTTTAGCGTGCAATCAGTGTCTCATGCATTATTTTTCTCTCCGTTCTACCATTTCTTAGGTTTAGATACAAAATGTATAGCTTCTTCCCAGAACACAGCGAGACAGCCTTCTCTTGTTTTCTCGCATTGTGAGGGCAGTTTTTTTGCAGTGTACCTAACCCAAGACGTTGGGGTTGCTTCGTGATAGAAATTACACAGAGGAAACTAGACTTGAAGAACCAATTTGAGGAAAGTAATAGGGCCATCCAAAGGTGTCTCTCTTTTGCAGTCAGTTCCCATTATTGTAACCCAATAACTTGGCTTTCATTCAGTGCCTAGATTTCCTGCCCTAATTTAGTGAGTTTATTTTCCTAGGAAACCTTTATCTACTTCATTCTTAGGGAGGACCTCTCAGTAGCTAACCCATGTTCAAATCGCATAGCAAAGTGGCTTTAGAAGTCTTTCTGTAGCACATTGATTTTTCTCTCTCTCTGCAATCTGCTTGCTTCGGCAGGATCCTTCCCTGAATCACAAAGCCTACAGAGATGCATTCAAAAAGATGAAGCCGCCCAAAATCCCTTTCATGCCCTTATTGCTTAAAGGTAATGATTTTTTATCTTTTATGGTATGTAATTCCGTCTTCCAGGAATTCGTCACTGTTACTGTATGGGGCCAAAAAAAGGACTCGGTTTATTTCTTTAAAGTGAGGTTGACATTCAGACCAAACCATGTTTGCTTGTGATTGTTTCTCAAATGCTCAGTTACTTCTGAGACACCTAAAATCCTGCATGGTACTTGAACAGACATCAAAGCATTTCCTCTCGACTCAGAAAATTCGGCACTTTTGTGTTTTTACTCCACCCTGCTCCTCAGTGCTGTTCTGCTTTCTGTGAATGCGTAAGCCACGTCACCCAACCCAGTGTAGGCTGGCATACGAAACCCACCGGCTGCCCAGTCGAGCTCCATGAGCACCCGAGTTCCAGAGCTGCGGCCCACGGCCCGCCACGGCGTGTGAGAAAGGCCTCTGGTCGAGGCCTCTTCCCGGGAGTGGAAGCCGTGTAGGAAAGAGGGCGACCGCTCCAGGCCAGTCCACCGCCTTCTCTGTGCAGCAGCGAACACGTCATACAAGACGTGTTAGTTAACTTTGCTGGCGAGATCTCAGTGGTCTCTTTCAGACCGAGGGAACTCATGAAGGGGAAGTTCATTTTAATCTGGCTTGTGCTCCTGCCTGTGTGCTTTCCAGGGGAAGGGGATTTGGTCGTTTTTCTTGGCCATAGTTCAATTCCACGGGATTTTATAGAAATATGCTTTTATTATAGCCTCTGCTCTTCAGAGGCTTGTCACTTCAGCGGGGTCGCATCCCCATGACTGGCCCCATGAATGTGATTCTGGAAACGAGTGACAGGGGAACTGGATTGCTGGTTGGCCGGCCCGCACCCCACACCTCACCCCTGTGACCCCCGCAGTGCCGGCCCTGCTGACGGCAGAGCCGAGTCTCCCTCTTCAGTGTCTTCTCCAGAGCAAGCAGAGCTCGGAGAACGACTGAGTTGCTGCGCAGTCTTGCAGCGAGTCACTGAGTCTTCCTCGAGGGTGAAGTCAGAGTCCCTGTGAAACAGTAAACACAGTAATGTATCAGGACAGCAGAGAGGCTCCGTCGAAGCTGAAAAGATTCCGCTAGATGCCAACGGACGAAATAAAGGACAGGTGGCTATATCAAAATACTGCAAACGTTTGTTTGGTTCTACATATTTATTTTCTTATAAGACACTTATTTAGGCTTATGATTTTTATTTGCAAAGGAAAACACCTTCAACTGGAGAACAGGGGCGTGGCAGGTGGGAAGTAACACAGAGACTCATTCAGACACAAATGGGAGAAAGAGAACATGAGAACAGATCTTAGAAGGGAATGGACTTTACGAATGAAAACTTTGGAAACAAGTATTTTTAAGGTGATGAGAATTTAGCAGACAGCGCCCCTTTTATGTAATTAGACATGAGCAGAGCTTTCTGCTGTTTATTAGTGCTTTTCCCGGGAAAACACTTATTGCACTCAAGTGTCTCACACTTGTGCCTTGGTGCAGATGCAATTTTCCGCTCTGCTGAGTTTCTCTAGACCTCTGTGTTAGCGGCGCACCGGATTTCCCTCTTTCTACTGAACATACAGTCACTCATTCGCGCTAGCAAATTAAACACGTTTGTGTTTAGACGCTTTCTTGAGTTAAACAAGCACTTATTCTTCCTCTAATTATAGAAATAAACACTCTATTATATTACCACTCTATTATATTTAAAGTTGCCATTTTGCCTGAAATAATGTCCAAAGGAAAACAGAGTGAAATTGTGAAACATATATGTATCATACAAAGATAAGACATTTGGGGAAAAATAAAGAACATTCATTCTTAGGGGTTTTTTAACTGCAAAAAAAGTTTTCTTAAAAGTTGCAGTAAAATACTTTAAAGGAACCAGCTTTTTAATGAAAACGGCCCCCCGCCCCTCACTTCCTACTTTGGGTTCCTTCTGGTGGGAGAAAAAAGATGAAACTGAGCTCCTTGGTGCTGAGAGGTGTGAGGCCTCCCGTCCGGAAGGTCTGGGATGCCTTGAGGACAGGGTTACGTTAGCGGTAGCGCCCGTGCAAGCGTAGCCTGTGCTGTCCCCAGCGGGCAGCCCAGGTTAGGTGTGCGGCAGGCAGGTGTTGGAGCACCCAGCACTTATGGGCCCCCGGGAACCAGCAGGATCAGAGTCTTGATTAAATGCAAATGCTTCCCCTTTCCATTTAAGGGAATTGTAAGCTGTTCATTTCCCACTTGTACATCAGGTTATCGCAGTAGATTTTTGAAGACATTCTTGTCTGTGGCAGTTTGCTAACGCCCAGCCAGCGCTGCTCTGGTCCGAGGGTTTCTGTCATCCACTCCCACTGCTGCAGCCGCTGCCTCGATCGCACCCAATTCCTGAATCCCTGTCTCTTGGGAGGCGCTCCTGGGCTCCTTGCAGCCACAAGGAGGGGGAGCTGTGTTTGAATTTCTTCTGTCGCTGTCAGTGCAGTGACTTTCCCTTCCTCAGACAATGACCCCTCGTCCTGCTTTCCTTAGGTTTTTTCATCAGCGGTGTTTTCTTTCTGCCGGTTGAATAGGGACCATGCCGATTGCAGCCCTGTCTCTTTCCTTACGTTTCGTACACAATCAGGCCCTGACTTTGAGAGCCCAAAAATCTAAATTTAAACTTCTAAATCTAAATCTGAACATTTTAAATAAAGCAGGCTTCCTACACTTCACCAGAAATTGTTTTAAAAAACCAAACGTGTAAATATCAAATCCTACTGTTTCTGGAGATTCCGTTCTTTTCTGCTCGATTGTTCTGGCCTGAAAACATGATGGACCAGTTGGGTTAGAGAACAGTGGTAGTTTATCTAATCAGAGTGAAGTCAAACACTTCACTGTAAATGCAGAATACATACAGTGATGTTACAGTGTTTCCTCCCTACACACAGAGTGTACATACCCTTCCTCCCTGACTAGTGTAGGATTCAATGTCAAGTTGCCTTGTCAGGTGCGCGGCACGACTCACGATGCTGAAGAAAATGAGTAAGTTCCCCTGCATCTAGACCTCCTCAGCCCTGACTCATGATCCATTCCTAATGGTGCGTGTATCTTTTTGTTTTTAATTTTCAGATGTAACATTCATTCACGAGGGAAATAAGACCTTTTTGGATAATCTTGTCAATTTCGAAAAGCTGGTAGGTAAATTTTGTCATTTCTCCTTTTCTAAATGTATCCTTTCCTTTTCGGCACCAGGAAATCAGAGGATGAAGCCCCTGCTTCACTGAGTGCCTGGGGACTGCCAGGAGCTTATCTGCTGCATGTTGTGCATTCCCAGTACAATGTACTCCAATGAAAATAAGTGTGCTGGCAAGGTTTTGAGAAACAACTACAAAAATCTGCTCTTTGTTTTGAAAAATGGAACTTCGTTAGATTAACATCAGCAGTTGAGTTTATGTTATTGAACAAAATAAAGCCGTGAAAGACCTGTTGGGGGCAGTTCACACTCGGGAGGGCAAGCTTTTCTGCTCTGAAGGCACCTCTCTCTGCCCCAGCATGCACCCTGCTCCTGGGCACCAGAGAAAGCTGTCTTTCTGGGGGGGCACCCGCCTCCCCACACGCCCAGCTGGGCTGTGAAGGCAGAATGGGTAGGGTCTGCGTGTGAGGGGAAGGCCACCGTTTACCAGCCTGTGGACAGGAGGTGAGAGCAGAGTGCCCCCCAGCTCACGAGGTAGGGGTCCCCCACCAGTCCTTTCTTACTTCCAGGGCATGCAGAGGTCTCTCCTGGCCTTTCTGACCAGCCCACTCCGAGGGTAGAAGGGCCGTTCTCTGTCAGATTGGACAAGGATACAGTAGGAGTGATCTGAAGGGACCCGGCTGACAAGAGGATGGATTTGCCTGAGAGATGAACTTTGGTCATAGATTAGACTGTCCTTCATCGTTAAAAACGATACCAGTGACCCCCGTCCATAGATCCTGGCCTTTGAGTGACCTTTTCCGTAATGGTGATGGATTTGTGAGCACTCTTTCAGGAACTGGCCCTGGTTCCCTGTGAGCCTGGGGCAGGCATTTGCGAGGCGGCCGAGTGGGGTGGGGGCTGCAGACCACGACCCAAGAACAGTGCAGACGGATGAGTCCGAGGTTTGGCGTCTGAGCTTTGCCTCACGGGTGCCCTGCTCCCACTGGCCCTGCCCAGGCCGGGGCAGCACAGGGTCACTGCCCAGCCCGAAACCCAGGCCCTGGGAGGCACATGCCTTAGCCTGTCTGGCCGTGGGTCCATTTACTCCCTTGAAGTCGATCTCTTTATAACTAGTTATTTTAAACGTGGATGTGTCTATAACTTTCCAAGCCTCTCTCTGCACCAAGTGCTTTGGAATCAGAGCCTGACGGTTCACTCACTCAAACGAGCACAGCTGGAAATGGGGATTCGGAGCACTGAGGCTCTGGTGCCGCTTCTTTGCACGTGAAGGCCGTGGACCCCACACTCTAGTCCCAGGCAGATTAACCTCTGGCGTTTGGTGTTGATGAGACAGCTGCAGGCTCGGGAAGCCTTGGGTCCGCACTTACTCCGCATCCTGGCCGACCCATGGGGTGAGAACACCACATACGCTGTGGAGGGCCTGTGTGAAGAGGGGGGAGAGCGTCGTCCCACCCGGCGGAATTCCCCACGGAGGTCTAGTTCCTTTCCTTCCGACTGACCGACAGACCGAGGGCTGTGGGAGAGCAGTTGTGCTGTCTGAGCCGACGCGGATCCATTGTTAGCAGCCGGCTGGTGGCTGACCTTCTCCCAAAGGGAGCCCGTGGTTTGGGTTAAGTTCATTTTGTCACTTCCCCTCAGATAAGTGCTGCCGGTGCTCGAGAACAATGCAGTAAGGGCACAAAGGGGAGAGAGCGATGGGACGGACCCCCACTCCCGCCCCTCTTTGTTTCTGGCCAGCGTGGCTGGCCTTGCCTGCTTTCCCCAGCAGTCCGGGGGACGGTGCTGAAAGCCAGCAGACGTCATCGAGGGTCTCGCTAGGACTTCACACTGACCCCTGGGCCTAAAACAAAGTCTAACAAATAGTGCTTCTACCACGGCCACTAGTTATCTGTATCCTTAATTCTTTAAGGGAGTTTAAAGAAGTAGCATGGCACATCTAAGTAATATTACATTTTAAATGCTAAATTCCTGAGGAGAACTTTTAATTAAAAGACAGAAGATAAATACAGTTATCTGTGAGGCCCCCCAGGACAGTGGGTCCCTGGCCCAAAGACACAGCACACCTCACGCTGACCCCTCCTCGCACAGAATCGACAGGCTGATGTTAGAATTTTGTAGAAGGGCGAGTACCCATTTTATATTGTACATAGCCCTGTGTTATACTTGGATGCCGGGGAGTGAAACTGAATTTCCTAGGAGAGGCAGTATTTCAAGGCGTATTTCTTCGCAAAGGACAGGGTTTCACTTAAGCTAAAAGAGGATCATCTTTCACAATAATGAACCAATAGGATGTAACTGAATTAACTTGTGAGGAGCCAATTCCTCGTGATGGATATTAGCTCAGGCCGGCTCACAGATAATGCAGTGTATTATCTTTATCTGGCTGGTACAGGCCAACACATTAAGTCAGGCGACGGGAAGACCCAGGAGCGCTCATCGGGTCTAATAAGATTTCCATTGTCCCCCGTGCAGTAAGGAAGAAACCAGCGCTCCCTCCTTTTCCTCCCTTTATCCCTCATCGTTAAGAGCGTCATCTTTTACGGAGCGTCTGTCCTCTCTCAGAAAACCTCCAGATGAGGATCCCGACTCGGGTTTCAGCGAGGCACTCAGGCTGAGCCCCGCAGGTGCTCCGCAAATGGCACCCGATAGAAATCAGTGTGACGCCAGAGCGCAGCCCAGCCAGGGAGCTGTCCTGGGAACAGCGGTGCATTTGGGAGAAAGGAAACTGAACAATGCGCTCGCAGACCTGAGTCAGGTCTCATTTCCTTCACAAAGGCAACTGGAGCTACTGCTGTAATCACTGCCCTAGTTAATTTTCCACCATTGAGTAGGAAGACAGCTGTGCGAACAGTTTAGTAAGTAGGTCATGTTCAAATACAGTTTCTGTAGTTCTGCTGGATTTTAAGTAAAAAAAAAAAAAACTTTAACTTTGTTTTAACAACAGCTCATTGAGGCTTTGCTGTACAGGGGCGGGCCGTGTTCGGGGTGTGCGCATGAGGCGTGTGGAAGGCGAGGAGCTGCATGGGAAGGGTTGCGGTGCCAGCTGGTGAACACTGTTGATTCTTGAACAATGGGATGATGTTTGGATTTTGATATGAAGCAAAGTAGGGAGTCGCCGTGGGTTTTCCGGAGGCAGAACGTGACAGCAGCAGTGTGTGGAAACTGCTCTGGCCACTTGATGGGGGGAAAGGCAGGGGAACTCTGTGTTCCCCTTCATCATGGGGAGCTGCGAACAGTAGGGCTGCGAAGGCCGCGGCAGGAGCACGGACGAGAGGTGGAGGGGTCTCGTCGAAGGCAGCAGTGAGTTGAAGGCTTTTTGCCTGGAGACCAGTGAGAACTTTAAACAAAGACATCGAAGTAGAATACTGAAGTGTGTAGGAGGGAATGCAGATTATAAACAGAAAACTGTCTTTGTGAAGAGACAGAAGTTTTAGAAAACACTTGCCTTTCCTTCTCGCTCCCTGCCGCCATTCGAGATACTTGAACCTTTGATTCCACAAACATCTTTTCCTGCCTTCAGCAGGTGTGCGCGTGGGTCATATGCGTGACTGATGGTGGATGCTGGGTGCACAAAGCCCTCCGGTCGCACCGGGTCCACAGGAAAAGTTACACGACAAATAGGACAACACAAAGCCTGTGTATGTTGTACAAAGAAGAGTGACAATGTTGAGAATGACGCCTCCCAAGTTCCGAAGGGAGGGCTCAGTAAAACCTCATGCAGAAGAGGCAGGGCACCGCCCCCCGGAGCGAAAGGCCCAGGCAAATGAGCACAGGTGGGCAGGGGTGTGAGCACCGTGTCTCCTTACGGTTGGTGTTCCCGTGGCTCCGTTAGAATCACGTAACTGGGTTTGGGAGCTGCTGTTTCTGCAGACTAGGAAGGGTCAGTGTTCTTGTGTCACAGAAGCTCAGGGTCACCAGTTACAGCTGAGTCCAACTCCAGACTGCGCCCAAGGGTGTGCGTGGCCGCGGACCCTGGCAGGCACGCTGCTTCAGCAGTGCCCTAGGGGGCCTCCCACTGACCCGTCGTTCCCTGTCTGCCTTCCAGCACATGATTGCCGACACCGTGCGGACCCTGAGACACTGCAGGACCAGCCAGTTTGGTGAGTTGTTGAAGTCGGCGTGCCGCGCGTATTTGCGTAGACTGTGGCCCTGTGACAGGTATTTGGTGGGGACAAACTGAAACGGATCGTACGGTGTAATGTGCATGTCGTACGGACACACTGCATTCTCTGTTTCATCACCGCGTGTGTGGAATGCAGAGGGAGGGGGGACAGGGCAGCAAGCTGTGGGGGGCTCTGACCTTTGGGCGTCTCTGCCCCACACTGGAAGAAGAAGAGTCGTCTTGGGCCACACATGAACTACATTGTGCCTTGTAATCACAAAAAATCTCATAACGTTTTAATGTTACCATTTCGTGTTGGGCCCCATTCACAGCCGTCCTGGGCCGCATGTGACCCCGGGCCGAGGGCTGGACACCCCAGTGTCGAGACTGATGTTGGACCACCTGAAGCTCCCACCCCCCCCAACCAGAAAGCCTTGTTTGCTCGTGTGCCCGTTGGCACAGAACTACCAGTGGGTTTAGCAGGGGCGACCCTGTCGCTAACCTCCATGCTCAGAGCCTGCCTGGAATAGGAACACAGTCTGTAAATGCAGCCTCCCAGGGCCTTTCCTCCTCTCCAACAAAAACTTCCTGTCTGGGGCTGCCTTCACTGGAAACGTGTTTTTCTGAGCGCTCTCGTAGACTCCCCACTGAGACCAATGTAAGTAGGAATGTTTGTTCTTTTCTAAATCTCAGCCACAATTTACATTCTGTTGAAATTGCATTAAAGCATTGCAGGAAGGAAGGAACTCGCCCTCACAGTGTTCTCCTTCTCGGGGGCTCTCACGTGGGCAGTGGGGCCCTGCCTCCCGGGTCGGTGGGCAGAGCTCCTTAACCCCACGCGTGGGGCAGAGAAGCTCAGAGGGCCCCTCAGGCCGCCGTTAATCAGGCCGAGTCTGCCCGACTTCCCGGTCCATACCCTGTCCTATGCCCTGAGAGGTTCTGTAGATATAAAGGGCAAAAAAAAGAGAACAAACAAACAAACAGAAAGTTGAATTCAGTCACTATAAATCATTCAAAGGTGTCCGGTAAATCAAACTTACTTTGTTGACAGTACGTCCTCATTGTAAAACAAAGTCAGGCTTCCGGACGGTAGGTGCGGGTGCGTAAGAATCCTTTCTGTCTGGACCGGTCAGATTGCCCCTGCAGTGCAGCAGCTGAACGACTATACGAATTATAAAGTTTCTCTTCAAGAGGGAGAATTGTAAATACAGGACCTAATTCTAAGAGTTCTTATCACTTAATACCACTTGATATGTGCGTATATAATTCTCCATTACGGACACGGGCACAAGGCTGCTGTAACAGAAACAGTGATAATAACACAGCCGTTCAGATTCAGTCCAGTGGGCCAGCGTGACGCTGCTGATGAGTTCATAGTTCTTCCATCCTCCTCTGCTTCCCCAGTGTTTGTGGGTACTCGGCTAATTCTGAGACTAAAGAGTCAATTGTGAAGGCACTCTGTATGCTCAGGGGCAAAAGTCAGTTTACAGCTGTTGTATGGAAAATAGTACAGTAATTAATAAATAAGGATACAAGAATAAACTGTGTTCTGCTTACTCACAACTGTAAACCGACTTTTGCCCACCCCATACGCTGCGTGTGTGGGCAGAAAGGTTATTTCGACGTAGCTGGCCTTGACCCTGTCTGTACATCTATGTCATCACCAGAGAGTAAGTCTCCTTAGCACAAAGCAGAGGAGAAACATAAGCAACTCGGAGGCCTGTTTGTGTTGTGTATTTCTGTATCTTTAAACATTGTGTATGGGACTGAGTTACCTAAGCTCATTCTGACAGCTAATATGGACACAGTAAACCAGTGTCAGCGTCTGGGGTAACACAGGTCATGTTAACCAAGCCTCCTTACAGATGACAAAGTGCGCACGTATGTCCCTTGTCCTGGTTAGAACCACTCATTCTGTCAACTTCTTTTAAGGCCCAAACTCAACAACATAATTACCTTGGTAGCCTCGTGTTTGATAAACCAAAATGAGCCTCTCAGCATCTTCCAGAAAAAGCGCCTGGAATGACGCAGCGTTTTGGTCATTTTCAAACAAGTGGGGTGGTAAAAACTTTAACTTTTGATGCTTTTACTTTTTGAAACCACAAAGTCTTATTTCTATTAAACATAAAATTTATAAGCCACCCATGACTGAAAGGCCTTAAATTACCCAACACATTGACATAAGGGAGGCAAAACACATATTTTCACCCAGAGAAAAAATTGCTGCCTTAAACTGCCCAGCCTCTTTTGTTCCTCGGGTCTGAAACTCCCGAAGCAGGAGCCCGTGACCTCGCCCACCCGTTGGCAGGGTGACCCGTTCACAGGGTGACCCGTTCACAGGCTGTGGTCTCTCCCCAGCGCAGTTAGCCAGCCGGTCTCCCGGTGCCAGGGGTGTTGGAGGAGGGGCGGTGTGGATTTCACTTGTCTTTGAGTTTGGAAAGTGCACTAACCACATTTTCCAGGCCACTCATCCCTGGTTCTTTATCAGAGCTGTCACCAGCAGCGACTCGTGTGTTCATAGTGCACCAAAGCCTCTCGTGGCCCTTCGACTTTTTAACACCCTGGATTTGGGTGTGGAAGCCCCGCCCCCGGCCTTGTCTCTCACCGGGTAGATGTTAGCCCTTGCCCAGGCTTACGGGGCCAGCTTTGCCTGTTAGCCTTCAGTTCAGTTCTGTGATACCTGTTCATTCAGTTGGTCCCTTAATGGTTTTTTTCCCAAAAAAATAAGGACACCAAAGGATTATACAAAATCTTAAGTAAGATTGAAAAAAAAAGAACGAATGTGTCTGCACACTCACCAGCTCGGCACCCCAGGCTGAGACTAAGAGCCAGGGGAAGCCATTTAAACGGCAGCGGCTGTGACACAGGACCTCAGACCAGGACTCGGCCGCATGCCGCCACTCACATGGTGTGTGTCTGTGCTGTTTCCTTTCTGAGAGGGAGGTAAGAACACAGTCACTCAATGCTGTGTAGTGCCACATGATACACACAATGTAAATGTAGGTGAAACAGATACCTTGCCAGTCTAATTACCTGACCCGAGGAACCTTGTCTAAGCTGGAAAACCAACCCCACCGTCAGAACAGAGGTATCTTCTCTCCTACGATTCTGACTAATGAGCGTCTGCCTGGCAGGTTTAGTCCAAGCGTTCATGTGGGGTTTCACTGGTGTTGAGGAACAGCATTACGACTCTCCTGAGGCTGACTGGCTTTTCTTTTCCTCCCAAAATCAGGAGGTGACATGTCTCCAAAAGAGCACCAAGAGTTAAAATCCTACGTGAACCACCTGTACGTCATTGACAGCCAGCAGGCCCTGTTCGAGCTCTCACACCGGATGGAGCCTCGGGTGTGAGCCCTCACGCCCGTCCCCGCCCCACCTGCCCGCCCCCCTCTCCGAGCGGCTGCAGCACTTTGAGCCTCGGGAATGTCCATGCCGAGCACGCCCCTTCCTGCAGGAAGCGAAGTTGCTGAGTTTTATCGGTCAGTCACAAGACGAACACAGGAAAGCCAACCAAAGTGTGCTTAGGAAGTGACATCGGCTGCCAGAGGTGGGGAGAGGCCTCTCCCCACTGCTCTCAGAGCAAGAAGACAGGAGAGCCAGAGCGTCCTCGAAATGGAGAAGTCTGGTTTCTTATGCTGACATGGTCGATGCTATCTAAATTTCAGTTTGAGATGTGCCGCCACCAAGACAAGAGAGCACACCTTGGTGTGAAGTGACCAAACATTTCAGTGGGAGTGTGTGTGCAACAGGAAGCGTCCGGACTTTGCCTGGTCGCAGACCATTTTTCTCGGTTGTCAAAGAAGTAGCTCGTCTGAAGCAATGGCATCGCCAGATTTCCAGGGAAAAGGCGTGGTCTCTATTAATACAAACTGTGACATCACCAAGGGCCACTCGTGTCCAGGGAGTTAGTGAGGACCAGCGGCTGGCACCCATGCTCTGACTTCCAGAAGGGCAACGCCAGGGCACAAGCTTCTTCACCCCCCCAGTCACTTACAGATGCCGGCTCCCCGGTGAAATTCCTTTCTGCACCACTCACCTGCAGCCACAGGCACGTCAGGCTAAGTCTCTTTGCCAGTAAGGAAACAATAGGAATCTCTAGGGAAACTGACTCATTATTTAATTCCTGGGGATTTTCTTTACATGTGCGAGAAGGCTCTCATCTCCTGTTGGGAACAATGTGATTTTTGGAAGAGCTCAGTGCCTGACACATTGTGGGCGCTCCGTAACTGTTGGTCGAGGTGACAGTCACAAAGGTCTGCGCACCGTGTGCAGTGACCACAGCCCGTCCTGGGAGGGTGAGCGGGGGTGGGGGGCCGCGTGCAGAGCACCCAGCAGCCCCTGGAGAGGAGCTGGGGGAAGAGATGGCGCTCGCCTGTCCTACGGCAGATGGAAGGAGCCCAAGATCCCCAGATGCCCGTTGTGTGGTGCACTCTCACTAGTCCCATTGTCCACCTTCCAGCCAAGAAAGCAGATTTCCTGTCATTTTTCCTTTTTATTTCAGTCTTTTAAGTCTTTTTTTATGCCCATTTTTATAGAGTAGGGCTCCTCTGGTAAATGAGACGCCTGATATTCTCAAGACTGGTTGCAGCTCCCTCGACTTCCACATGAACAAAATAGCCTGTGGGATGTGGTAATGAAGTCCACCCTCAAGGCGAAGTGCTTGTCACGGCACTAAAGCACACGCGCGAACCCTGGAGCGTGCTTCTCACCGCTCCCGCCTGTTCTCCTCTCAGGAGCCTGCGCAGAACTGCTTCCTTCTGTCTCATTGGCACCTCATTCCTGCGCTGTGCCTGATGCTTTCTGACACCTTGATGGCAGTGCGTTGCCCAGGCTCAGGAACCTCACTGCTCTTGGCAGATTGATGGAAGTAGCCCCAGGGAGAAGATTTATTTTGGTAGGACTTTCAAACAGATTCAGTCCCTCCCAGCATATAAAACTCCAGTCCTGAAAAGTTAACAGCATTCTGTGGAAAGGCACCGTCCAGGGCTGGCCCACTGAGATGCTCCAGGCTGCGGGGAATGGAATGAGACCCAGTGGAGGAGACCAGAGCTTTGGAACCAGGGACATGGACTTCTCTCCTCGCTGATCAGACGCTGGAGAAGCTCTGGCAGTGTCTGAGGATAGTGCACACTTACCGCCCACACGGGGGATCTGGTCTGTTCTCTACGCCGGGGCGTAGCATTGGCCCTGTCAAACCACGCGAGGCCCTTTGGACATTGTCTCCATGTTTTGCAATTGAAATTTGATTCATGGGAAGCCTACATCGCTCCAACTAAAACTATTTCAATTGCTCTAGTGGAGAACTCTGGCAGTACGGTACCTGCTGGTTAGAGCTCAGTTCACAAGCACGCTCAGCCGAAGGAGTCCCCACGGGCATTCAGGTTAGCCCCAGCTCGAAGGCGCAGGCAGGGTCTGCCTCCCGGCACAGGCGGAAACAGCAGGGGGAGAGGGCGGGTGCCTGTCCACCACTTCCTCCCCCAGGGCCCCGGGGCTCTCGGGGCACACAAGGGACAGGAGGGTTTCGTTTAATTTAGATTTGCTTTTCCATGCCCATCTTCTGAATGTTGGAATCTCTGAATCTTTCTAAAATTTAATAGCTGTCTCCGGAGATTTCCCAGGCAGCAGTCCTCAGAAATTTCAGAAGCTCTGAGAAGAGGTAGATCTGGAATTAAAGAATTCAGGGCAGAATCATGGGAGCCAGAATCACTCAATGTGAAGCTCTTCCTAACAAATCCAAGCTGCCCAACAGTGGACAGGCTGATGCGGGACTTCGTGGTTCTCTGTTAACAGGGAAGGGCCGTGGTCGCTCTCCCGGCGTTTGCCTCGGGCCCTGTGGAAGGGATTATGTTCCAACCAGAAGGTCAGACTGGAGAACATCAGCTCTCTAAGATTTTTATGATCTCTTAGAATCTCCATTCCCTCTGAAAATCTGTACTCTGCCACCTTCGCTGGCGAGGGGTGCACAGCCACTTCTAAGAGGCTCTTTCTACTACAGCACAACTTTTGACGGTCCTACGGGTCTGCAGGTCTGTGGGTCTGTGGGTCTGTGGGCATCCCAGGGAGCCAGCCCTGCTGAGAAGTTAGCACCAGCCAGGTTCTTGTAGGCAAAATCGCAACCTTCCCAAATACATTTTTCCCATACCTACTTAGAGATGCTTCGAAGCCTGTAGTGTTTCAAACTCACTTTTTGTTATAATCTGCACAATTGCCAACTGGTTGCCATGATAAATATTATGGACTGCGTTCATTCAATGCTAGTATCATTAATTATATTTAGAATACTTTCATTTTCCCAGACCCCTATCCACAGGCAAGTCAGGGCATGTGTACAGTAAACCCACCCCCCTCCCAGTTGTCAGGAAAAGGTGTGGCCCTATAAGGCTTACCTGCCTCCTAGCGGGAGAAGCAGTTACAGGAGACGGGGTGACAGCCACATCAGAGCCCCCGAGCTGGCTTGCCCTGCTGCCTTGTTAGAGCATCATGTACACAAATCCCAAACTTAGCGACCCTACGTGGCACAACTAATCCAAGCCTCTCGGGAACTGGGCACAAGCATCACAACAGGGTGATCAGGTGCACTGCAGTTGTCAACACCGGGGTTCTTCTCAATGCTTCAAACACGTCCTTAAAATTTCAGCCTGCCTACTGACAGGCAGGCCGGTGTGCTGAAAACTAGTGGGGTGGGTGGGGGGAGTTTTTAAAAATTGCCAAAAAGTTAGATGAAAATATACTACTGTAAAAAGCAGAGCTGTATATACGAAACGTTTTCTAGCAGAGTACTATTTATTTGCATAACCTATTTATTGTACTCATATGACACTGTTAGGGAATCCTGGGATGACACCCATGACCTGGAGCAGGGACTCCTGCCTTCCCACAGGTCACTAAGTAGGACCGCGTGACCTCGTCGGCTCGAGGTGACAGTTGGAAGAGAGCGAACCCGCCGCGGTCAAGGTGTCTACCTAACTTCTCAGGGACTGCATTCCGTAGTTTGCCGCCATTACCAGAGCTGGTGAATATGAAACGTCGGTTGAATTACCAGAATCGCCATTAACAGTATTTTCTTTCTCAGACTTCATGCTTTCTGCTTCTGTACATAGGACTGTGCTGTGTATTTATCGAAGCTAGTGAGCAATAATTTATATGTACAAAAGGCCAAGCAATATAAGGTGAAAACTTATGTAAGTCATGGTTACCTTTCCTTGTATTTTCAAGTGTTTTTTTTAACTGCTTTTTCCAAATATAAGATTATGTTAAAGATACTATTCATGCCTCATAGCTTCATTTCATCTGCGATGCCTGTGGGGGCCACAGAGGCGGTTTGGAACTCAGAAATCATTCCCTCGCCGAGAGAGCCGCGGTAAGTGAGGTGGTCTCGGGCAGCCCACGGGCCACTGAATCCCTTCAGCTGGTGCTGAGTTATTGCAGAACCAGAACACCTGTGTTGGAAGGTGCATCCGTGTTCTCATACCCTAGGATTTGGGGGACTCAAACTAGTCCTCACCTCGTGCCACTGGAGTAAGACCAAACACCAAGGGCAGCGCTAGGCACTGGCGGTGGTGTCCCGGCCTGGAGTACAAGGCCCGTGGGCAGGAGACATGGCAGGGGGGTAGCCACAACGCTCTGGGACAGTGGGACATCCGGGTGTGTAAACACCGTAGTGGACTGTCCTTCAAAGGCCTCTGCCCCTCCCTACAGAGGACAACACACGCTGCCCAGTGAGGTCAGGCTCGGCCTGCGGCACATGGCGGTCCCTCCCTGCAGGGGGTTACGTGTCTCACCACGTTGAACTCCGGAGTAGCCTAATGTCTTACTCTGTGCAATGAAAACAAAGAGACCCATGTGGCTTGTAACCCAGAGCTTAGGAAGCAACCTGCGTCACCGACCGCGAGGCCTGCAGTGTTGCAGGTAAAGCGGTCTCCGTGCCCCTGGGCCTCCAGCTTGTGAAAGATGTGTAACCTGAGTGAGAATCTGGAGCAGTGCAGGCCGGGGAGGGAGAGTGTGGAAGCCCTCAGCTCCGTGTTGGAGGGGAGTGGGGAGGGAGGGACATTCCCACTGCCCAGGACACCAGGGCCTGTCTTCACTGGGATTGCCCGTGCTGGGAGGGTGAGGGCTCCTGCCAGCTCAGCAGAGTGTTCTTGTTCACGTGTGCAAACCCAGAAATGTGCTTTCTGGTCCTGGCCTTGGTGCAGGAACCACCCAATCCTGTCTCAGGGCTGAGGGCTCCCTGTCTGGTCAGGTTCTTCTTCCAGGTCTTCTGGGTCCCACAGTGTCTGGCATTCACTGCTTTAAACCAAAGAGGTTCCTAGAGCTTCAGGAGCACTACTCTCAAGTCAAGTAGTCCTGGTCCGGGCACGATTCTCTCTTACCTGCCGGAGAGGCAGCCATCCCCCTCGGCGCACCTCACAAGCAGGGCAGACAAACCCTCAGAGGCACGGGGTCCTTACTACAGGGCTCCTGTGTCCACTGGGCTCCTGGGTACCAGGGCCAAGACCCCTGCTGTAGCCACACACAGCGCTGGTGACGTCGCAGCTCTCGATTCCGTTTTTAGATGGTGACTTGGTGTTTGCTCAGGAGGAACGAGGCCTCCGCCTTGCCCTGCAGGCCTTTCCCTCAGGCTGGGGGTGGCCTTCCGGGGGCTGGGCTAGGGTCCCCTGTGTCGCCGGCTTTCAGGGCCTTTCTGCAGTGAGGTGACGTCAGTCCTCACCATGGGCACGTGCACCCCCCTCTGGAGCTTCCCCTTCCTCCTTGCACGGGCTTTGCGCTCCAGGGGGAGTGTGGGGACTACTCCAAGCCCTTCCCCGCTGCCTAACCTCACCACCTCCCCATTTATTTTCTCCTAAAACCGCACCATGGTGCAGATCTTCTCAAAGGGCCACCTACAGAGAGAAGAAACAAGTCCCCCATAGTGGAGTGCCCCCCCCCATATCCAACATTCCCGGGCTTTCTACAGGAAAGTGGGGGCAGAGGCCCTGGAGGAAACCAAGTGGTGCTGACTGGACTTTTCTTCTCCCCGGGAGACCCCCCAGGCAGCCCCAGTGCGGAGCCTTGTGGGCTGGAAGTGGCACCTGGGAAGCGGTGGTAACGAGCCCCCCACCCTCTCCTGAGGCCCCTTTCCTGCTCACAGGCTGTTGGGTGTCCCCAAGTTGTCCGTGTGTGGTCAGAGGCCATAATTTCTAGCAGCACTTGAGTGAAAATAATCGCATTCTGAGAAAAATCTCTGCAGTCGACTAGTTCTTGAGTCATAACCAAAGAAAAAGCTGCTGAGAGCTTGAAGTCTAACATCAGTCAGCCCGCGGGAACTCGAGGCAGCGGCAAGCTCCCTCCCCAGCTCTGTGGCCACGGCCACTCTCGGGCAGCTCAGTGCGCACAAAGCCCTCCCTCCAGGACAGTCTCCTCACATGGCAGCGATGCCTGCACCCCCAAAGCTGGACGGGGGAACCGTTGTCGCTCCCCAGCCCCACAGCCCCGGTCATGGAGTTCTGCACCAGCTGCCCCTTCGAGGTCCCCCGCCCCTGCGTCAGTTCAGACCCTGCTGTCCCTTAGTTGGGTCACTGCAGTAACCTGCCTCCTCTCCCTCCCTCTATACTTCCCTCCTGTAATCTCCAAACTGCTCTCAGAAGTATTATTTTTTCCTAAAATGTAAATCTGATGGTGTTTTTCCCAGCTCTAGATCCTTCCATAGTGCCTCCCAGGCTACAGAATTAAATAAAATCAGTTGCATATAAGCTCTTCACATTTTGGCCTCTACTTATCTGTTCGGGGCCAAAGAGATGGGGCAGGTACCACTTACAATGTGGTTGCCTCTTCAAACTGATATTGTACATGTGAAGATTAACTAATGCTTACTAATGAAAATAGCATGCACCAAACACTTGGCAAACAAATAAGTGTATGTGAGGCGTATTTGCTACATACAAGGTGTTAAACCTTGCAGCCAGAGTGATACACAGAGAGCTGGGGTGGGGGGCCAAACCCGAGGAGCCCAGGCCACCGGAGGCTTGTGGTCCCTTCAGTCCCTGGTTGGGAGGAAAGCTGGTGCAGACTTGTGAAGCTAGAGCTAACTTTTGTTTTGTTGAAGGAAGTGACTTGGCTGCAGTGGGAAGTAAGGACCGTTCGTGCCCCTTTGTATTTCACTGACCTGGGCTGGGCCGCAAGCTGCAAGGGAAAAGGCGGTGGGCGGAGGCCGGAAGGAGTGCCCCACCCGTTCCCCGTCCTGTGCCCACTGCTGACTCCACAGTCCTACCTGGGACACAGGCCTGCTTGAACGACCCAACAAAGGCCCTGAATCAGCACAGCAGGGCCTGCCCCCAGGCACCCAGCTGCTGCCTCCGGAAGACTAAGGAGGGTGCACAGTAGGGGAGAAAGTCCCAGCTCCTGCCATGCCCTCTCCCAGGCTCCCTGCCTGCACCCAGCACTCAGGCCTGGCTGGCCATCTCCTCTCTGCCCCTGCATGCAGTGTGCCCAGGACCCCTTTCCCACCGCCCATGCAGGGCTCATTGGCTCCCACGCCCCCGCTGGGTGACCCCAGACTGACCCCCTTATCCCTTTCTGAATTCCTACAGTAGGTGCCACCAGTTACTCTTGGGGGAACCACCCTGCCTGGCCTGGCCTCCTGCCCAGCTGCCGTGAGGGCGAGGAGCAGGGTCAACAGCTTAGACTGTGCAGCCAGAATGCTAGACCTGGTGAAGGTCTCACCTTGACCTTAACTTTTGTTTCTGCACCTCATAAGATGGGGGTTAGTATGCCCCCTCCTTTGCAAGGTCGTGTGAGAAATAACAAGAGACAATGCGTGTAAAGTGCTTAGTGTCAGGCCTGGTACCTCGCGGGCCCTGACCTGGAAACCACTGCAGAAGATGATGATGACAGTGACGATGGTGGTGGTGATTGACACGGGACTCACCCCAAAAGATTTGCACCCACAGTTCTCCTCCACTGACAGCAAGTTTCTTAACTTCTTATACTTCGTTCTGTCAGTTGTCAAACAAGGCGCTTTGCAACATGTGGGCCTCGGGGCAGTGGTGCCAAGGAAGTAGACGGTGCAGGCACTGAAGGGAGACACAAACAGCGAGGTCTTTCGAATCCCCGCTTGCCTTCCACGGTGCTGGGACAAAGCAAAGACTCCCTGAACGTCTGCTGATGATCTGGACCGAGATGTGGGAACAGAGTCTGCAAACCCTTGTGTCGGCATTAACATCGTCAGTAACGTGTTAATAACACGGGGAGAAAAAGGGCTGCCCTGCCCCTGGGCTGTTCTCGTCCTTCTGATCTCGGGCTGCAATCACTTTGAGGACTCCGTGCAGCTCCCAGGAGGGCTTCCTCACCCCGCCGGCTCCCTGCTGCCCCTGTTTGGACCACAGGCCTGGGGAACTCTTAAACAGCAGCTCCGCCTGGCAAGCTTTGGGCTTCCAGGTGGCAACACAGAAGCATCCCAGTTTCTCACAGTGAAGTGGACACACTTCATGGTTCTCTAGCTGCCTCCCCTGCAGTTCGGGGAATTTTCTCTGGTGTCATTCAGAGTCAGTTGCTACGAGACTAAAGGACCAAACCTATGCTCTGAGTCCCGGGTTGAGATGAAGTCCCTTTTGTAAGGCAGGAAGAGCAGGGGAGGCCAAAAGGAACCCAGGGCTCAGAGCGTAGGTTTGACCCTATAGTCCCGTAGCAACTGACTACGAGACGAAAGTCCGTTGCAATGATGAAATTGCAACTAATTGTTTTAAGAAAGACAGTGGAGGTGGTAGGTTGAAGGGAATCTCGAGAGCTCGGTTTGGGATGTTCGCTGGACACAGACTAGAGCCAGCGGGAGTTTCTTTTCACCTGACCACGCTTGTAGACTGGACACACTGGACCTCCAACCCCGCTCCTTTCTTGGATCTTCCTGAGGGTCCAGGTGAAAGTCGGGGCCATGGGGAGGATGGGTGCACTCTCTTGGATGACTTAGGCTCGATGATGGTCCTTCAAACCTCTGAATCTCTGCTCCCAGCATTCCTGTAATGGAACCCCCGTATCCCACCAATCACACATCACCCAGCTGGGCAGCAGGTCATCCTGTGGGGCCACCCACTGAGACTCTAGACACCCACCCTGTGTCAACCACACCTTCAACACTGACGTCACAGTTTCATTCAGGAGCTGCCCTCTCGTTCAGGCTTCTCTTCCCCAAAGAAATACAAAAAACGTCAGTTCCGGTTTTGCCGCCACAGGTTCTGGACCCTGCGTTTAGCAAAGACGAACGCATCTGCCCAAACCCACGCAGGAGAGGC